CGTGTTAGCACATTCTTTTCTTTTAAATGGAATACGTAATTAAAGTGATTGAACATAAATGTAGAACATAACTATATTTATACATACATATGTGAATGAATATATAGTATATATGTTAATATCAAATATGATAGAATTAATGTAATTTTATATTGCACTTCCATATACACGTGATATAAAAATCAATATTCTTATAAATAACTCATTGACGTATATTATTCATATAAATAACTGAGGAAAAAAAAGACCTGCCCCCAGAGAGATTTGAACTCTCGACCCCTGGTTTACAAGACCAGTGCTCTAACCCCTGAGCTATGGAGGCACTCGAATGACGTCTCTTTCAACACGCTTAAAGGGATTGGGACACAAGTTATGTTTAATACATTAAACAAAAATGTTATTTTAATTGCAACAGAACTTTTTTCTTTTTTATTTTACGTTATAATATTGTTAATTTAAGAAAACAAAAGATTTCCCGTAGAAAAAAGAAAAAACATTAGAAAAGGACTTCTGTGTTTTAAACACGTTAATTAAATATAGGTATATAAATACTTCTATATCATTATTAAACTCGAATTTTCTTTTTTTTTTTTAATTTTTCGTTAATTCTTTTAATAAGCAAAGACGCGCAATGTATTGTATTAAAATAAAATTGATAGCCTTTTCCCAAGTTGTTTGTGTTAAAAAATATTATAAGAAGTTTTGTTTCAAAAGGATTCCAGAAATCTAAAAGAATTCGAACGAAAGAGAATTCATTCAGGCAAAACACCAAGTTGCCGTATCGCAACGAATAAAATTGTTCATTTAGAAAAATCATATCGTAGAATTTCTGCTTGGCACAATACAGCGGCGCTACTCCGGTTCCCCCGAGTCAAAAGAATCCGCTAATATATTTCTCAGTACCTTTGAACCTCTTCGTTCGGCGCTACGACTAAATATTAAATATTTATTTTAATGTTGCATATTTATAAGAAAACGCTCGCATATGCCGCCATCATGGAGTTCGCGTGTGTTGACGCACCGCTTTTTATTTTGCGTCTGCCAGAAACTCGGAATTTTCGGTGAAATCTCGAAAATCTCCCGCCGAGATGTCACATTTCGCTAAAACCATTGCATTCGCTCTCACGCTATCTCCGAGTTTTTTTTCAATTTTCGATAAACGTTTAGCCTTTCATCGTTTGTATTAAAAATAAAATTTTTTTTTTTTCAAGTTGTATCAAAAAATACTATAAGCTAATCGTTTCAAAAGGATTGCGAGAATTCGAATAAAAGAGAATTCATTCAAGTATTTTTTTAAATTATATTAACGACAATAATACAATGAATTTAGAGCTCTAAGAAGTCTGATAATCAGTAGAAAATGAATAGAGAACAACATTTATACATATCGCGGTACGTATAACTGAAATAAACATATGAAATGTAAAGGCACTATTTATTTCGTCGGCAAAAAGAAATGAGCTTTTTACTTCGCAATTGATGATGACAAACAACGCGCAATGTAAAAGGCTCGCGATGAAAAGCGCCTTCCGTCACTCGTTTTTCCGCCGAATAAGCTACAAAATGCGGCGGAGGAAGTCGATGAAGGACAGCCCGCCGTAATGTAGCCGGTTCTATGCGCGCATACCTTTGGGGAAGTGCCATCCTTGAGTGCGCGCTCACCGGGGCGACAAAGTCCGCCTGCGCGCGCTCGTCGTAAAATCGCTACCCGTCGCGTCGCCGTCGCGCTACGTCCTTGAGCTACCGAGACTTCGCCGATTTCCGTGTAAACTTTCAGGGTGAAAATGAGGATGGAGTAAAATTTTACGCCGACGCGGCGTCGCGTCGCGTCGCGTCGGAGCAAAGTTTAAACTCGAATGCATTTTTGTAGTTATTATTATCGGACATTATCACGCGAATTGAGCATTGCACGTGATTTGCGCAAACTTAATTTTATCGCAAAACATAAAAAAACTCGACGGTACATCTTACACAGACATCCGTCCTTCAGTTTCTTCCGCGAAATCGCGGACGAAGGAGTCTTTAAAAGAAAAAAAAAGAAGATAAAACTGCGCACAGTTTCGCAACGTAATTTTTTACGACGCCGTAACTTTTTATACGCTGAAACGATCGTCCGGGGCATCCTCATTGCAAAAATGCGAAATAGAAAATTATTCGATAATTCTGTAAGTTCGCCGTTTCGGAATTAAAAACTTTAGCCACCGGAAATTAAGGCGGAGGCAGGAGAGAAAAAAAAACTAATGAACTACGCTCAAGGAATGATTAAGCTACGAAGCAGGACGTCTAATTAGACGCGGTCCGTGCCATTCGTCGACTCGCGAAAATCGTGGTAATTTGATTAAGTGTATATGTCACTGTAAAAGCGTGGAAATCCCGTAAGTGCAGTATGTATACACTTACTAATCAACGTAGGCATTTACGTAAGATTTTAGGAAAAGTATCAACTAAATATGCAAATGTCTAATATTCCTAGTAATTGTATTCATTTGCTACACAATGCATATATTGACTAGTATTTGTATTTTTTTTATCAGATATAAAAATATACACGAAAAGAACGATTTTGCTGGATACAGATCTGAAAATAATTTTTGTTGGAAAGTTAAAAATGATAAGCATATAAAAATGATAGAGAAAAATGCTTATCATTTTTAACTTTCCAACAAATTATTTTGATGGTCCAACAAGAATTATTTTCAGATCTGTGTCTAGCAAAATTTTTAGATCTTGCAGCAAAATCGTTCTTTCCGTGTATGCTTCTGCTAAAAGTCTAAATTTCATTGCTCGTAAACACATTTACTTATCAAATTAGTAGATGCATATACGAGACGACTAATTAAGCGTATACATTTACCGAATTAACACTTTGACTGTGACATATACACGACGTCATGTTAGAGCGCCGGAGGGCGCGTAAAAAAGCGCGATCATTTTGAGTTTATGCGTCTACGTTTTCCGCGAAGGAAAATAAATAAAAGGCGAAACGAATGCTCTTAGCCGAAGGTAGAAGCGGGAGCATTTGTTTGTTTCGCGTTATAAAGCACGTCGTCGTACGTTTCCGTTTGAGTAATCCGCCGTTTTTACTGCGGAAAAGCAATTGCTTTGCTTCCCCACGCTCAAGTCTGCAGGTCGTCTTTTGTCACGCCGGCTAACGTAAGGTTTATAATCTGATTATCGTTAACATATTTATCGCAGTATTTGATCTTACGAACTCGTAATATATAATTATGAGATCGCGGTGCCCATATATTAATAGCAGATAAGTAGAAAGAGAGGTGTATATGTATATATATTCGAAGTGTATAACTAGGAAGTCAATTTAATATCGCGGTATTTACTTTCACATGCCGTATCGAATATGCTACGTGTGTATGTCATTCATATTTCCAACGTTATTACAACTTCTTAGTGACGGAGACAAATAATCTTGGATATAAGCAAATCCCTGTTATTAAAATTTATTTATAAACATTTCTATGAATATCTTCTATATGAAACATTTTTATGAATATTTTACAATTTCTATTATTAGTAATATTATAGTTGTTAGTCATATATTTATTAGATAAACACGAAGAAAATATGAATATTTCTCATAAAGAATATTTCTCAATATTTTGTATAAATACTTCTTGTTTTTATTTATTAATTAATCGTGATCAACTCTGATTCGGGTTACATTTTATGTTAATTTGAGAACAAGGTCTTTTTTCATCTGCACAAGAACGATTTAGGATCAAGTGGAAAAGGAGGAGCGAAGAATCGACTTATTCTATCACTTCAACGAGGATGCAAGTGCACTTCCTTACAGCCTCCGAATAATCTCTTGGAGTGGCGGCTATCAAAATCCAGAAGGCTCTCGCCAAGTACGATCACTCGAAGAGAGATCTGCATTGTTTCGCAGCACAATGGCGCCGATTCGTCCCGCCCATGGCAGTTGCGCGCCTCATTACCGTCGATATATTATTGTCGCCTCTCGCGATGTTAATGAATGTTCGATTATAAACATCGGCATAATCGATGTTTATAATTGCGAGACGATTACAAGGCGCAATTTTCTACTCGCGGGGAAATTAGCATCGGCGTAACGGGCGAGCACGAGGAGCGTGGCGCGCAATCAAGGACGTGGCATTACACAAAATGCAAATACGATTTTGTTGTGTCGGCATCGTTATAATACTCGCCACCGCCATCAGCGCGACGCGCGAGGTCGGTGAAAGAAAAATCTATCAGGATGTAACGGGGCATGACTTCGAACGGACTTCGATAATGAACGGACGGAGGTCTCCTCGTCCTCGTGCGCGCCCCGTTATGAAACGTGTCCGTGCGCGACGGGGGATTATATAGCTCGAAAATCACTTGGTTCATTCAAGCGGATGTTCATGCTTTAAATCGCATGTTTGTCACAAATTGGGGTAAATGCGACCATAGTGGCGCGCGATTTCGCGCATAAATATAAGTATTAGAGATATGTAAATAATCAGAGCTGTTACAATTTGCGTGGAAATTATGTATATAAGATGCCTCATTTTGTTACAACGTGATTTAATAACAGAACTTTGTTGCAAATAAATAAATATTTTCCAGACAAAAATATGTCAAAGACTGCACGAATAGCTTTTTAAATTGGAGATAACTGAAAATGAAGATATCTTCTCGCGGAATTAAAACGAGCTTCAGAAAATAGAAATGAGAAACTGTGATTCCCCAGCGAAAATTCGCCGCCAAGATGAGCTTAATTGGATTACTTATCAAGACTTTAATTTCAGAATCAATTTTCCAATATATTATATACATTCACATATTATATACATCCGCGTACTTGGATAAACTGAAGGGATGGAGAAAAAATTATATGAATATGCCAATGTATATACGGCTAAGGAGACACGGATATCGAACTCGTTAAAGCAAAATCCATCATTACGATCGTATATAGAGGTGGGATTTTATCCAATCGAGCAGTATCGGGAGCAATAAAATCGCACTAAAACACTTACCACGAGTCGCTTCGGTAGGTGTGAGTATCGTCCGGCGAGATCGGACGGATGACGACGTATCGATCCGGAATTATTAAAAGTTTACGTTGTCCAGCTCGCGCGCGAGCCTCAGGGTGACCTCCAAGGTGGAGGTGTCGCTGTGCCACTTGGCGGAGGATGCGTTGGGATCCACCGAATGCGGCGTCGGTAGGTGCAGCCGATATCTGGCGGAATGACTCGTTTTACGCTTCGGGCAAATTTACGGCCTCGTAAAATTGTCAAAGGAGGACGCGATCGCGCGCCCGCCGTACGTCGCGAGTCAAACGCGACTCGCCCGACGCGGTCGGGCGGGCGAAGCGCTTCGCTCTCCTTCTGTCACGCGGGTCACGCCGATAAATTCCCAGTAGTGACCGGGACTCACCTTGGACTGCGCACGTCGATCGCCTCGGATTCCACGGAGAGCTCCACATTTTCCCGCGTTTCCTGGGGCAATTTCACCAGCACCGACAGCCACTCGCAGGACGCCGTGCTCGGGGTTTTAAAGCCCATCTAAATAACAATTCGTCCGGTCTTCAAGGCCGCGATTCGCACGTAACGTGTCGAGCGAAATGAATTCTTTTCCGACGTTCCCGCGAAGTCGCCCGGCTTTGCGGGAGAATAATCGAGAGATTTTAAACGCGGCGTTCGCGTTATCTTGGCTCTATTGTTGCTTTATTGCGTCGCATTTTTCAGCGGCAATTCTACGTTTTTTTTTCCCAGGAAAATTGCATACATTTTAATTTTCAAAGCGCAATCCGAAAACAAGGGTATAAATTTTCATTTAAAATTTTAAATTTTAGCGTCTTACTGTTTCTTTACGTTCTTCTTCGTTATTATTAGTTTCGAACTTACAATATGGAAATACATAGATTTTTGTCCAAAGAAAAATACAGATTTATCAACCATTTTATATTTTACTCTATCTATTTTATTCAAATTATAATTATTATTTTATCTATTTTATTTATCTTATTTTTCTACACTGAATATTCTTAAACTTTCAAATAAATATAAATATATTACAGAACTCTTAAAATCGGATAATTGGCTATTTAGCATTAAATCTAAGATAAGACTAAACGATATGTACGAAGCGCTCAATATTGTGTCAAATCCCTACTTTGTCATGAGAAAAAAATATACTTACTCCCAGATAAACGTCTTCCGCCGTGACTGCCTGCTTGAACTTCATCTCGTATTCGGGCGCCTTTCTCGGGTCGTAATCCTGCGAGCTCCGGGTGTCGGCCGCCGCCGAGGGATGCCAAATATCGTCGCCCGCGCCCCGCAGGGGTGCATGAGGTCCCGAACGGTCCTGGGGAGGGCCATCGCTCGGCGCGCCGATGTCGCCCGGTCCTTAGGGCAAAAATATTGATCATTCGCGATCCCGTCGATCCCGCCCTCTTGCCCCGCGCGACTAATGACTGATTTTACACGTGTAAACGTTGTCCCAAGAATAACGCGTGATAACATCGAGCGCATCACCCGCAGGCAGCGGCAGCGGCGCGCGTGCTGTTTAATGGTAATTTAAAAACGGATGTGTAACGATGATTTATAATTAAATGCACGTTTCACGTCGCGACTCCATGTGAATTGAGGATCGCGCGCACGAGTCCTATTAAAATTAATGATTGACAGCGCGTTAAATATATACCTGTAACTTGCAGCGCGGGCTGGCAGAGCTGCGTCGGATCGTTTATAAATCGTTACATCGATAATATTACCGGTTTGCGAAGAGGAAACAGGAATACGCATGTATGAAAGTAACGCGATGCGCGTTATATTATACGTTCATTTCTCGATTAGCGCTATACTACATCTACAATCTAACGAAGGGAAGGACGCGATTCTGCGCTCTATCTGTATACAAAAAATATCTACTTGAGATAGAAGCATTAGAAGAAATTCTCTTTAACGTTGTTTTATTCTCCTTTTAACGTTTTAACTCCTCCGCCGCGGCGAGCTTCAGACTCGCGAGAATGCGAACAAAAAATTCAAAATAAATAATCCGGCTGGCGAAAATAAATAAGGCGAATATAAAGAACACACACGCGCGCACGCGCGTATGGAACTGTTGTGTTTGCCAATTAATTGCGTTCTTCGCCCGGCCAAATAATATCCCGAACAATACCGTCAATACGTACATCGAATTAAACGTTAACGATACAACGAGATTTTCACAGTTCGGGAAACACACACACACACATACCGAGCTTCACCGGATGCAGCTTTCGAAATTGCACAGGGGAAATTAGTCGGCGCGCGGCGCCGATTGTTTTAACGGCGACAATTTTGTCGGATGTATCTCCATAATTAATCAGTTGTAAAGCGTAAACTCACCCAATTTCCTCGCGCCCGCCTGCGGTAGATCGTCCTCGACGTCGGAGTCATCGTCCTTCGACGGGCAGATTAAATTTTGGAGCGCCTGTAAATCCCCCGGACTGAAACAGCCGTCCATATCGCGAATATTATACAGGCGCGCGGAGGACAGCTCTCTCGCTCTCTTCGCTCTCTCCGCTACAACGCGCAGCCAGCGGCCGCAACAAACAAATTGACGTCGCTATGGTGACGAACTCGCGGTTACCTCGCGATAAGGCGGGCCCGATTCGAAATTCGAAAATTGCCTCGGTCGAAAAATTCCACACGCTCGGCGTCGCGCGGCGCCGGGACTATTTATCTATTAAATTGAATATGCAACAGCCATCCCGCGGACCTCGCGATCGCGCGGAGGACAATTTCAATCGCGTGTCACGCAGACGGGAATAAAAATATGCGAGCGCATATCGTGACCGCGGTACGTTTGTTGATGATTTTTCTTTGATTTAATTCAATTTTGACAATTTTTATGGTGTGCATATAAAATTAATAGCAATAATGTAAACAGTTACGTGCGTGAAACGACAAGGGCAACAATGCCTGAAATTGAAATATGGCACTTCATAACGTGCATAAAAAATAAATAGAGCGCAAGCGATAAAACACAATAAATAGAACGCGAGATAGTTATAAAGAATTAAAGACAATATTCATATTCCGATTTTATATTTATCATTTTAAGTTTAGCTTTAAGCTTCTATCCAGATAATAAAATAATAATAAATATATAAAAGAGATCTTATAAATATAAGATTAAATTATGAATACCGTCCTAAGGTTGATTTCAAATTTCGATTAATTTATTCTGTCTGCGATTAATTTGTGGAATAATATATATAGGTACTTATATTATTTATTGAAATTATTATTTATGGATGAAATTATATTAATTTTTTATTGTTTGACACTTGGAAGGAAAAATGACATTACGATAACGAATATATAGTTAAAAATTTTATCATTCTGTTAAATTAATTAACAGATTCCGATTAAATTAAACTGAGAATTTGAGCAAAGTCGCCCTCAAACTGTCACAGGCTTCTTTCTCTGTTAGATTTTATGATAAGTATTTTATAAAAAAAAAAAGGAAAAGTCTTTAATGAAAGAATAGGAAAAACGTGGAAATATAAACAATATAAAAAAGAATTTTGAATGAAATTAAAATACGACATAAAGAAGAAGAGGGAAGATCCTTAATGAATGAATCTTCAAATTTGAACTTTGGATTCAAATAAGAGACTTCGAATGAGAATCCATCTGAATAAGAAATTAATATATCTTGTAATGTATATTAGGAATAGCATTCGATCTCACATTCAAGATTGTCTCAAAACTCTGAAACACTATCTCGGGACGTTATATGCTCATTTCGTTGATTAGGGTAACTGTCCCTATTAGTGTGCCTGTACGTCCCTATTAGTGTGCTTTTATATTTAAATAAGTCATAAAAATAAACTGGTACAAATAAATAGGCAAAATGTTTTTTTTATTAAGTTAATACTTTAACTTAATAAAAAAAAAACACTTTGTCTATTTACTTGTCAGTTTATTTTTATGACTTATTTAAATATAAAAATTACACTAATAGGGACAATAACATTAATAGGGACGAACAGGCACACTAATAGGGACAGTTATCTTATTGTTAGACAATCTCAAAGACAGATTTAAAACAATTCTAAATATAAGGCCAGTTTATAAATACCGATCAGCCCACTGGATTAGTCTCTTTTAAAATTCGTCTTTCGATCTTTAAAGATCCGTATCAGTCGCACACGTGAACAACAATTCGAACGCCGCAGTTTCCTCGCGAATTCCGTTTCGTTCTCGTCCCACTCCCACCGCTGACGGGGCTGACGAGGCGGGAACGGGACTTTACGCGACGCACCTCGCAATCCTCTGCTCAATTCGAGGAACCTGTCCAGCTGTCTCGTGGTCGTGTGCTCAGTCTGACCAACGTAACGGTGCCGGCAACGATCCTTTCTGCGACAGCTTGCCAACATGGCGGACGGGACGAGCGAGAAGCTGTCGAAAAAGTAAGTAAAGTGCACGATGTCGGGCAAGAATCGTCGTGTTCGAAGAACGTCTCCGTCTCCCCGTGGCGCTCGATCGCCCCGGCCGCCCGTGGCACGCGACTCTCCTCGGCGAGGGCGACCTAACCTAAAAAGATCCGACATGCGGCGGCTCGTCGCCACGCGGTCTTGCACGTTGCTCGCTACACACAGGGTTCGCATTTCTCTCGCAGATAGCGATATCTCGTAGAAAGATCTAATGCGTCGGTGAGCGCGTCACGTGGGTAAAGTCTAAATCCCGGAACAACCGCCCGGATCATGCTCGGTACGTTAACCAGCGCGCGCGTTATCGTCGCGCGATTGGCAGAGCGAATCTGGCTGGCGGGCCACCGGACGAAGTTGCGTCAGACGTCCTCGCCGTCTCCGCGTCGGTTCGCCACGAAGTGCGTAAATGGATCATTCGATACGCAATGCCCGATCTCCCGAGAGAGATGAGCTGAGACAATGTCCTGATTGCAGCGAGCTGAAGAGGCGTCTCAAGGCCGAGCAGAAGGCCAAGGAGAAGGCTGCGAAGGAGGAGACCAGGACGGCGGCGGCGGCGGCTCAATCGACCTCAGAGAAGAAGGACATCAAGGAGGAGGAGATTAGTCCAAATGTAAATTTCGGATTTTTGTAAAATTGAAATTTATGTAGGATAATTTATCCAGCATTGATAACAGACTTCAATCAAGAATGTTCAGATGTAATAACTGGAAATTGAGTCGTTGAATTGTATAAAGTTAAAGAATAAGTTATCTTGCAAAAAGCTTGCAAAGAGTAAAAGCTCTTTCGTTTCATGGGCAGACGACTTTTTCTACTTTTTCTACTTTTTTACTTTTTCTTTGACTTTGTATGATTCAATGACTCAGTTTTCAGTGATTACATCTTAATATTCTTGATTGAAGTCCGTTATCAATACAGAATCTTGAATCTTGAGCTGACGCAACAAAGAGATTTATTGTGGAATTTATGTTATTTGCAGGAATACTTTAAACTCAGGTCAAACTTGGTCAGTCAACTCAAGGCTATCAATGACAGTCCTTACCCGCACAAGTTTCACGTATCGACCTCCCTCGAGGAGTTCATCGAGAACTTTGGGGATGTCGTGAAGGACGGTGAAATGCTCGAGAAGGAGATGCACAGCGTCGCCGGACGCGTCCACTCCATTCGACCGTCCGGCGCCAAGCTGATCTTTTACGATCTTCGCGGAGAGGGTGTCAAGGTGCAAGTGATGGCCAACGCGAAATTTTACGAGGGCGAGGAAAAGTTTGTGGCTGACACCGCAAAGATCAAGAGGGGCGACATCATAGGCGTCGTCGGCATACCTGCGAAGAGCAAGAAGGGCGAATTCTCGATCATACCACGTCGCGTTACCCTCTTAAGTCCATGTTTGCACATGTTGCCGCATCTCTATTTTGGCCTGAAGGACAAGGTGAGAATTAAATTTGCAGAAAAATTATAATTCTCGAGCACATTAAATAAATATTAGAATCGTTATATAATGATTTCCACATAAAATTCAAAATACAACGTGCAGTGTTATGGAAATATATGTAAAAGTAAATATATTATGTGACCACGTAATGCATAATTGTGCTAAACGCTTTTTTGTACACAACCAGGAAACAAGATTTCGGCAGCGGTATCTGGACCTCATACTAAATGACAAAGTCCGACAGGTCTTTTATACACGCGCGAAGATCATCGCTTATATGCGCAAGTTTCTTGACAATTTGGGCTTCCTGGAGGTCGAGACTCCTATGATGAATATGATCGCCGGAGGTGCGACCGCCAAACCCTTCGTTACGCACCATAACGAACTCAACATGGACTTGTTCATGAGAATCGCTCCGGAGTTGTATCATAAGGTATACAGTTCTTTTTTTCTCCATCGTGATCTAAAAGCAATCTATTTCAAGAATAAAAGGAAAAATAAAGCGCAACAGTACTGTGAACATTTAATAGATGTTAGTCGTCGGTGGGATCGACAGAGTGTACGAGATCGGCAGGCAATTCAGGAACGAGGGCATCGACATGACTCACAACCCCGAGTTCACCACCTGTGAATTCTATATGGCATACGCCGATTATGATGACTTGATGAGAATTACGGAGGACATGGTGTCTGGCATGGTGAAGGCCATACATGGGACCTACAAGATAGAATACCATCCGGACGGACCGGAAGGTAAGGCGTATGAGATCGACTTCACGCCGCCTTTCAAGCGCATCTCGATGATGAAGAAGTTGGAGGAGCTTCTGCAGGTTAAACTACCCGAAGCCGATCAACTTAACACGCCAGCGGCAACTAAGTTGCTTAGCGATCTTTGTGAGAAGCGCGAGATCGAGTGTCCTTCACCCAGGACATCGGCGAGATTACTGGATAAGGTAAGACATGATCAGATTCAACAAAACGCTTAATGACTTTTTAACTTGATATTTTTGAGGCCAGTAATTTTAATAATATGAAAATAATAAGAAAAACATTTGAAATGTATATGTTAAAACATTTGTATCTCCAAATTGCGTACAATATTAGATACTCTAGACCGAAATATCTTTTGCGGAATAGCTCGTTGGAGAATTCATCGAGGAGACGTGTATCAATCCCACCTACGTTATTGATCATCCGCAAATAATGTCTCCATTGGCAAAATGGCATCGATCGGAGAAAGGCCTTACTGAACGATTCGAGTTGTTCGTTATGAAAAAGGAAATTTGTAATGCGTACACCGAACTGAACGATCCGGTCGTTCAGAGAGAAAGGTACGTAGAAAATTGAACTTTTTGTTAAAAATTTGTCAGAAGTAATATCAGTAGTATGCTCCGATAAATTAAGGTCATTGATCGAGTTACTCTATTTTACAAAATGTAAACGTATCGAATTTGCACACAGGTTCGAGCAGCAGGCAAAGGATAAAGCAGCCGGCGACGAGGAAGCGCAAATGGTCGATGAGAATTTCTGCACAGCTTTGGAGTACGGTTTACCGCCAACGGCTGGTTGGGGAATGGGTATTGACCGATTAACAATGTTCCTCACCGACTCGAATAATATTAAAGTGAGTGCATAAACCAAATGTTTATATTATATTTTATAAAGTGTTTGAAAAAGAATATCAAGATTTTATGGAAAATAATTTTTATTTTTCCATAACTAAATTATTTTATAAGAAAATCATAAGGTGTATTTCTTTGATATTTACAGGAAGTATTGTTCTTCCCTCAAATGAAGCCGGATGATCCGAACAAAAACAAGGAAATGACTGAAGACGACAAAGCGTCAAACGATAGTGCAGAAAAATGAAGTTAAAGTTATTTAAGAAAAATACATATAAAACTGATAATTTGGAAATAATTTGATTCAAAATTTTTCATTGAAGTATAAACGTTATTTTGTTTTCAATCGATGATTGGCTGCTAATAGAATACTTTTGCAATTTTTAAATTATATTAAAATAATTATAAATTTATATAAACGTGTTTTTTTTTATACATATATTTATTTGATACCCGACTACACACATCCATTACATACGATCAAATAGACATATTTGAAAATCGCAAAAATATATGAGAACAATATCATTGTATATATCAGAATGTTCCTTGTCAATTAACGTCATAATTATAAACCATTATATTTTTTCTTCCATCGTTTTATATAGATAAACGAAGAATGTCACAAAAGATTATTACGTATTCTATTAAGTAAAATATATGAAAATCCAGAATTAATCAAGAAACAGATGATATTAAGAGAATAAATTTTTGCAAGGAACACTCCTGTGTGAGCTGCATTTCAAGACTAGGATATTTTTAACTCACTGTCGCTCCAAGATGCGAAATAACAAACTACGTAGTTCAAAGTCTATTTGTTCGAAAAATTAAGGACCAAAATTGATTCTCACCAGTTAAAATGAATTAAAGTAGTACTCTTGGACAGTCTTTATCCTTTCTCATTCCAAATCAAATCACATCGTCAATTTATCCTGTCCGAGTGGAGCTTTTAAAAACGCACAATCTCGGACGTACCTCTTCATAGGCGTAAATTTTTGATAGCCGCTTGATATTTCAAAACGTGACAGCTACCACAATGAACACGGTTAGACATGCGCAACAAGAGAATAACATACATCTCGTACCTCAATCCTTGGAATAAGCCAAAGAACATTGAATCTTAATAAGTATTTGCATATTTGCTGGCAGCATTTTTATATTGTCTGATATCCATTTATGTGTAAAATAAATACAATTCTATATAAATTTAATCACTCTAGTAACACAAGAGCGCTAATTCAGCTCACATCTAATTTGCCGAGATATTTATAATAGTCTGTATTTGATATATTTAAGTATTTTAAGTAAATATATACTAAACGCGCTCCTACAGTCCACATTCTCATCGCACGTCTAGCGCTAAATATGACTACCTGAAGCCCGTTTAATATAGGAAGATCGCACAGTAATGTATGATATATTAAGAACCATTTACTTGATCTGTTGTTAAGTTCCAACTTCCGATATGATAAAACATATTTGCAAATATACAAAAAAAAACTTTAGGATGTGATTATATTTAAATGCACGATAAAAACGTATTTTAGGAAACTACAGAAAAAATCTAATATTTCAGTAGATTTATATATAGAACTTTCAGTCATTTTTAGCTCTAAATGTGCATCTCAAAATGTGAGTCAGTAAACTAGTTGAAATAATCAAGAAAATACATTTCACTAATGGTTCATTGATATGTATTTCGTATTTTTAACTAACTAATAACTGTAAAAAAGAATTCCTAAAATGTGTGTGACTATTAAGAGTAAGATTACATCTGATCAGTAATATATTTTCATCACGCATTTAATGTAATACACAATTTTTAATTTTAGCTTATAGAAAAATTAATTACATGCATTTTACACTCAGTCCTTTAACAGTCACTGTACACATTTGAAGAATTTTTCTTATAAACACTTTAATAATCATCACAATGATGTAAAGTTTAGAAATATCCTCGTCGGAAGATTAAATATTTCTGCTGGCAGCATTTTCAATATTTCTATGTATATTTATCGATAAAAATATTTTATACTATCTGAAAAGTTTATATTAAATTTTTCACACGAAATAAATTAGTTTTATTGACTGGCAAAAACATGTTCGTTGAAACATGCTTAATTCATCACGATCAATTCATCGATCACTAATAAAAGTTTGAAGACTTGTGTAACAAAATAGAAGTAAAGTCTAAAGCAAACCTTTATCAGCTCTCCTCGTCCTGAACGTATTTCGTAACAGAATTATAATGAGCACCTAACTCATACATGTGACGATGATAGGTCAGTGTTACCTTTTTGCCATTGCTGTACTCGTCTCCAATGATATACGGAGCTCCTGTAGCTTGTATGACCTCGATCGGGCATTTCAGTATACGCGATAATACCTGTAGCTGTAATTAAAGGAAAAAAAAACAAAATGTAGGAAAACAATTATGTGTTAGTAGTTCATAGACCAGAGAGGAAATATTTTAAGAATTAACTTCTTTATATAATCGTGCCTATAACCTACGACATATATTTACCTCAACAGCGCCGCCCCAAGCACTTGTCTCGGCCACGTCGTTGCAGTACTTTTCATACTCTTCAGGTGTCAACAGCTCGTCGGTGTCGGGATTGGAGAGAAATGGCAAAAAGTCGTTCATGTTTTCTCTCAAGTACTCAGCAGTCTTTGTTCTGAGATCGTGCAGGCTAAGTGGCGTATCTCCATTTATCTTGAGCTGATGCGCCACGGCGTTATATAAACTGAAAACAAATTCAGGCTTTTGTATTATCAAATCTCAAACAAACCTAACCTAAATTATGATGTAACTCCCATCATGATTCTTCTTTCTTAGCAATATAGACAAGGCACACATTCTGTATTTTATATATATATATTTTTTTTTCAAGATCTACATACCAGTGACCGTCGCTGGGAATTTCATAAATGATTAAGTCGCGCTCAGAGAGGATCTTCTTTATGGCTTCCGTCTCGACATTCCTCTTGCCGAAGACGTTGAGCGCCTCCTGCTCGATGATCCTCTGATTGCGCTCCTTCTCCGCGATCGCTTTCTTCTCCCGTCTCTTCTGCGCTTTGGAAACCCTGTGCGCCGACTGCTCCGAGCAATTGTCCTTGCTGATTTCTTCGCTCGCCTCCGCCGCGGGCTCCGCCGTCTGTTCGTCGTTCAGCGTAACTTGAGCCAGTCTCCACGTGTTCGCCTCCTCCACTTGACGTTTCTCCAAGCTCTCCTCCAGACGCCCTATCTCCTCCGTGATCTCTTTCTTCTTCTTCTTGTCACCTTTGCAAATGGATTTCTTCAAGGTCTGTATTTGCGCTGCGATTAAAAAAAGTTCAAACATTAGGGAAAGGCTCCCACATTGCGAAAAGACTTTAACCTCAAAAATTGGAGAACGATTGAAATTACAAAAAAATCTATTCAAAATAATGAAGAATAGAGATTTTGGGTTTTTTTTAAGTCTGAATACCTTGCAGTTCCTTGCGTTCCCTCTTGTGCTTCTGTATTATTTCTTCCTCCGTTAACACCGCCTCTGCCATCCTAATTTAAATATAACCTCTACGATCTACCGTAAGCAAAATTCTGGTCGCGGAAGCACGTTCCGTATTGTTGCGGATTGAACGGAACAGAAGCTGGCCGGCGGGCGGCGGCACGTTCTTCGCTGGAGCTGCAGAGGCAGAGAGACAGAGCATCACGGAGAAGAGGGAACGTGCCACGTGATAAAAGTCAACGGGCGCTAACCAATCGTTTGCCGTTACGTCATTGATCCTGCACACGGCAACGTCATAAATGAATGACGCACTGGGCTTGGCGTGTCCGCAGGGCGCAGATCCGAGCTCATCTCACCACGGATGCTCGCGGTAATTTCGATTTTCGACTAAACTCCGATTTTTACTTACTCGACGTTTAATCGAATTGTATCTGTATTTTTTAGTATATTTTTAAGATAAATAGAATTTTTAAGTTAGATAGAATTACAGCTTTTTGTTGTTTGACATGTGAAAAAAAAAGATTAGATCAGAGTTATATGTATAATCAGATAAATTTCGTTGTAATGTCCACTTTTCTATCGATTTTTCTATTTATTAATTTTAATCTCGTTTAATTTACTTTTTATCTTTTTTAATTCTTAGACCTAGAATAAGATAATTAAAATAAGTTAAACTGAGATTAAAATTAATTTACAAGCCATACTTATTTAAAATTTTCGTAAATTAAAAGAAATTATTACAAACACTTATAGATATACAAAAAAAAGTATATTAAATTATTAAATTAAATAGAAATATTACAAAAATTTAAAAAAATATATTCTTGCGTATTTCTGCCTATTTTCTACGGAAGAGCGAAAAATTGAATTGCCGCTTATTATTTTATAAAAATTACATATATACGTATACATATAAATATATAACTATTATATTTTTTAAAAATATAATTGTATATATTATATTTTTGAAAGATCTTTCAGAGTTAACTTTTTTAAAAATTATTCTCCATTAAATAAAGCATGTGTAAAAAAAAAATAATTTTATACATTCGAAAATTTTCCGAGAATGCAGAGTATATGTTACGATATTTATGCTTGAAGCGAATGCAAAAGCGCGAGTTTCGCGGGCGACGCGTTATGCAATTAAAAAAAAGGGACCGAGAATATAGATTTATCATTTATTAATATCCAATAAAGGAAATGAAATACAGTTTTTTGTCCGCTAAGCGTCATCTCCATTATCTCCCTTAACTAAGAAAAGAAACGGATGTCTCGCTGCGGCCGATTCGATCTCTGGAGGAGAGAAGGGGAGAGGGTGGGAGGGAGGGAGGGAGGGAGGAAAGGCGAGGGGAGGATAAGTGCCGAGAATCGAACCGTGATCGTCAACATTATATACATATATGTATATATAAAACAATTGTTACACACTAGAGCGAGAGAGCATAATACAAAACAATGATTCCTCGGTTAGTTTATTACAATACGTCACTTTTTTTTTTTACGTTACGTTTACTAATAAAAATATAACTCTCATTACCGCTCATTGTCAGTACAATGTGATCGTCCGTCTCCAATATAGTATATAAGTAAAATATCTCTTGCAGTCGCTTATCTAATCTACGGAGCGTCCGCCGAATCGTGCGTCTCGCTCGAGGACCGCTTTTCGGAGTTTAGCTTTTGCGCGCGAGCGATTTGTATCTCGTCTCCGTATCTTTCCCCTCCCGCCAAAAACTCTAAAAACGTCCACTTTGTCAATGAGGACAATGATAAAGGGCACTAATTAGCTACACGCGTTGCTAGATCGTCCTTAGTCACGGGCTGACTAGAGTTCCTAGTTACACATCCACAATATTTGTAGTGATTATTAAAAATCTTATTTGTTAACTTTACAGCACGTCTATATATCTGTAACCGATTAGCCTTAACCGTAATAGCGATTGAATAGTCGATTACAAGCTAATTTATTTAGAATCACTTAGCTCTAGTTAATAAAATAATTAATCTTGATTATCGGTAAGCAATCTTATAGTCGCAACATTTGTAAGTAACGTTGAAAAAGAAAAGCCCCTAACGCCGGCGCGAACGACCTCAAGAAATTTATCTCGCTTCGATGTCTCTCCTTCCGCGTCTCCGGACAATATATTCTCGTCGTCGACCGCGCGATAACGCATATACACGCAGGTTTCGGTCATTTGGGATCAGAACTTGGGAAGATTTCTTCGTCAACAAAGATGTAAGATTTCCCGAAAAAAGCGCAACCACCTGAATCCGGAAGTCCCTCGTCCGACGCACGATTTCGCGGACACCGCGCCGGAATGCATATATACATGTCTATGTATACACACACGCACACACGCGCATAAATGTATATATGCATTCGTGTATATATCTCCAAGTTTGCAACTTGTACATGTGTATACATATCTTTTTTTTTCTCATTTAATATTAATATACGTAGACATCTGTATAATATAGAACTATATATATTTCTCATGCCATATTACAACAATACAAACAGTCAATATTAATGATAATGTTAACTTGCGTAATGCAAGCACCACCAGCTAGTATAGCAGTTTGAGCAATACGTAATGCTTCCTTGTATCAGGATCGGGAGATTAATAACGGCGAATCACCGAGAAACATGCCGACAAATTAATCTCCGTCACCCTCGTCGCGCTTGATTCGCGTTCTACAGGGTGTCCCGAGAGCGACGAAAGTCAGTATATCAAGGTTTGTCTCGTGCCTTTTTTTAATTTTTTGATCTGTCATTTACATGTAACATAAAAAAAAATTAAAACTTGAACGAAACACTTCCACTAAAACGAATAATCCGATATATCTTGAATAATAATAAATTTAACGTATATAAAAATATCATTAAAAATAATTAAAACGACAATTTAAACGAAGCCTTAATGAGCGAGATTAAAGGATATTACACATATATTTCGCAGTCTTGAAAATGAAAGGATTAAAATAATAGGATTGTCAGATTTTTTGCTACGAAAATGATCGACCATCATCGAAACAGCGTAGTGCACTTCCGGAATTCCGATGCAAGACTCGGAACACCGTGTACAGCGAAAAAATCGCGTCTATAGGAAAGATTTTACCACTTTCTAACATTGATTGTAATAGATTTAAGCGTAATGAAACACCGTTGATTATGTCACTCCTATTCCCCGTCATATCGCCGCGATTCAGAGCCAAGAAGAATCTATTTTTTTTTCTTTCTTTCTGTGAATCGTCGCTGCGAGACTCTCGAAGATTCTCCCTAATAGATCTGCAGGATCAGAGAGATCGGGGGGGGGGGGGGATGGAATTCCATATCGGAAATCAGCGTCAATTCATCTCAGCTCCGAATCGCGCGCTTTTCCTTGGCACGTTTTTATCGACGAAGCATCTAGCAGCCAGTCATGTAAATATGATCGCGATCTTCTTCTAATACATTTATCCACGGATAATGTAATTATTTACACAACATCTCTAAACGTATTTACATCGCCAGCTACAGCTTTACGCGACTATGTTATAGTAAGAGAGAAGTAGCTTTTGTACCCGCTTGTCGCGCGCGTCTGTGGACGCGTCGATGCTTCGTCTTGTAAATACGATACGCTTCCGACTTTCTCAACTAAATGCACGAATAGGTCTCTCGGTTATGTTTTTTTAAGAACGTTCCTGAAGTACCGTGTCGTAAAAAAAGGGTTAGAGAGGACAAATCTATTAGCGTAGGGACAACGATTTAAAAGAGATTTTCTTCTCGTTACTCAAATCAACATTTTTTATCTCACACTGATCATCGTGTTCTCTCCTACAAATAATCGCACTATCGTTTTTTTTTCAAATTACCCCGTTAATATTGTCTTATATCATTTTCTTCAGTATACAAATGATACGCATATTTATATTTGCCTTGTCAGCTAATTGAATAATAAATATTATACAAATAATACAAAATATATATTCTCGGTGTATGATTGTGTACATGGGTAAATAATATTTCGTAGGTAGATATTAAATTTTTTTCTTAGAACGAATAAAATTGTAAAGTCAAATGGATAAAATCGGCGTGTAAAACAAGTAACATCTGTGTAAATCAGTGTTACTAAGCATGTCCCCTTCATTTTTACGACTGTCTTTCTTGCCATAGCGATATGAATATCTCACGCGAGGAGAAATAGCCCTGAAAGAACTCTTGTCGCGGACTTCGCAGAGCATTACGTATTACGTCTCTATGTAACATTTGGCAATGAGTAGAGTGCTAACAGTTCTTACGCTAATTACCTCTAAGCGTCACAGATAACATTACGTTACTTCTCCTTAATAACAACAGGGAGACTCAGGTAACAGTTTCAACAAGTTCTCACATTCTCGGCGTATTATTCCGCTAAATAAAATTCCATTGATATTTCAATTCATACCCTTGCGTCACTCACGTATCGAAAAAAAAGGATGTACTTAGATAAGTATTTGTGAGTGTAAAATGAGATTACTGATAAATTGCGGTATAAAAATTACACAAAGTATATAAAAGATAAATCTTGGATATCTTTCTTTTAAATAGGTAAAATTTTATTTATTGGAATAATACGAGAGAGACGTGCTAGTTCATTAATACAGAAGTCATATAGTAGAGAAGCTGTACAAGGATTCGTGAAACTAAGAATCTATAGATAACGCAAGAGATTATGGAATTAAAAATTTATATATACATATATAAAACGAAAAATCTGTAAAATTAGATTTAGAAATACATAAATTATCGTATATAAGCCATAGATCGTCAAGCGTAGATCGTCAGTCTAAAAATTTTCAGTCCGATTTCCTGAAGATTTCTGTCGTTTACTTTGATCTCTATGTTTTCGAAATACGCATTATAAATAAAAACGAATGTTAAAATAAATCAATAAACATTATCTAATATTATTTATATTTTCCTTGTAATTAACTAAATGTTCAGTCCAAGGATATAAACGACACTATTTTGCTAGAATTTTATCTAATGTTAAATTTTGATTTATAATTATTGTACATTTCAATCAAACCAATATAGAGATCATAAATATATAAATAAATAATCGAGAGTCCAAGAATCAGATAACAAATTTTTAGGGTAATAATAATTTTTAGAGTAATTTTACGCTCATTCATCCGCGCATGACTTGTATACAATAATTTCTTCATTTAATTGTCAATCCTCGAGTCTCGAGATTTTCGAATTGAGACTCGAAATTTTGGGGATCTAACACACATAATGTAAAACGAATAAACACGAAGTGATTTCAAATGTCATTAAGAACTAGCACTCCGCGTGCGAAACTAAAAATGCTCAAGATCGAGAAGGCTAAAGTATCTATAATACCATATAAATCTGCGAAAATAGTTCGAGGAAATTTACGATACGAGGTACGACGAAATGAGACAACAACACCTAATATACGTCGTCTACAGGACATCAGTAAAAGATCTATAATACGAGATATCCGCGTGACTGCTCTCGGTGAATCATGAATCACACGTCGTAAAAATCTATTATAAGATCATCACAAAATATAACGATCTACGGAATAAAAGGAGCTACCGGAATACGGAACCAAGAATCGTGTCCTTTTCTTCACGAGCTACCGCCGCGACTCGAAGAACGAGCGGCAGCGTGCAAATCGTCAGAGTTTCTCGGTCGTTGCTGATTGGTGAACGCTGGCTGATGATGCAGGCGTGACGGATGGGCCCACACTGGTTGATCGTTCCAACGGGAAGGATGTCTTGCCTAAGGGTGGCTGCGAGATCGCACGCTTTGTCGTCCTAAAAGAGCTGCCGATCGGCAATAGTCAATAAACAGTCGTAAACTTTCTCCTCGAGATAACCGAAGGACGCTTAGTAAGTCAGTTCTTCCCATGGATGAAATGTGAATTTCAACTCGGATTAATTTTCAAATAAAAAAAAATAGGATAGAAATATACATATATTCTCATAAAAATTATTTTATTAAATGAATATATTATATGGATATTTAATATCTTTTGTTACTTTATATGATCGAATTATTATGTAATATTTAGTTATCTTCTATCAGACACTGTGGATTTTTACTTTTACATATATTATTTTGACAATGCATTGGGAAGAAAGGATCTAAGCGTCCCAAAGTTATCTTGATGAATAATTTATTGTTAGCACATTCGGCGTACTGCTATCCGAATCAGCACAACTAGCAGTACGCAAAATACAATTACTGCGATGGACATTGTATGTATATTGCATTCTCGAAACTATTTTTGAACATCTAATTAAAATCTATCGGTTGGGTGACAGAAATGAATTGTAAATCAATCCTGAAAACAGAAGCCTTTTTAATAATAAATTTCTTAAGAGCAAGTTTGATCTATTATATTATATGAATGCGATAAAAATAACGTATGTACAATAATGGATCGAAAAATGCTGACTGATGCTAGTTGAAAAGCGACTGGAAATTAGTAGATTTAAAAATATTTAAAAAGTGACAATCCAAATGTAAAATTATTAACTGGACTAATTATTATTTTCCAGACAGTAATATTGTGCAATCCGCTTCTGTGCTGTGCGACGTGTGCAAGAAGCAGCGGTGATCTTTCTTATTCGTTTATCGCGTTCGGATGGAAAGCACAATAATGCACAATAATTTACCCCTCCTCTGTAACATTTAGGCTGAAAACGATTAATAATTTTCACTTGCATCAGCATATTATTAATTTCTGTTGTAACATAATACACATATATTTCTCGATAACCTATACAGATAACATCAACAGATATTTACAGGATGAAAGAAAAAATATATAAAACAACGATTTCTTTGACGAGTTCAAAATAAAATTTTCCTCAGCAAAAATTTTATCAGAAACCCTAATTTACAACTTTGACTTTTTCAATATAAAATATTTCAATAATTAAATCTTACAATAAATAACGAAAGTCTATGAAATGGAAATTACTTGAAAAACATCATATCCATTTAAATTTGTCTCGAGAACCCATTAGGATTTTATAGCTCCTATTTGTAGACTCATTGAAATTTTAATTTATATTTAAACGTGGGGAGAATATTATCTGAAAAACTCTAAATATACCGCCCTACATTCTTTTTATATATTTCGCTCTGCATCCTGTATAAAATAGTGTGCTCCGTATTGTAATTTAACTCGCTTGCGAGTGAAATAGATCGCCATTGAAAGCGGATGAATGAGAACAGCGCAGTGGGAAAGCGGCGTATTTTACACTGGTATTGTACTGCTGGAAAAGCGTAACATATCTGTGAAGCGTTAAATGGATAATGAGCCAGATGTGTATAGACGGAAGACACCTGTCCGCCCTGTGGATGACAGCGAGACAATTATTTAAATCTTGTCGTCCTTAAATGACGTGGGGGATCGTGGCACTAAAAGCATTCAACTAAGCGAGACGATTCTGTACTGTCCAAGCTTCTGTTATTCGATCCTAAAATAAACATAGCTCTGGCAGGCAATTGCAGACTATAAAAAAAAAACTTATAATTTTACAGTCCCTTTATATGCCTCTCTATATAATTTGTTTATTATATAGAATCTGATTTTTCCGCTTCCATCAGATGCTTTTTCTTTGTGATCGCACATGCGGGATGTGCCAGCATCTATATAATTTATTGTACGTAAACAAGCTAATAAATATATATTATAAACTAATATTATATATTATTATAGTTGATATCATATAAATTCTTCGCACCTTTTTTTTGCATTTGCTGCCAGTGCTATGAAGAGAACCATAAGTAGACAAGCGAAAAGGGCAAAACGATTTATCTCTCTCTCTCTCTATAGCAAAAAATAGCTGCGTAGTAAAAATACGTAATTCGCGGGGCGAATTCTCTAGTTAATCGATCGGTTCATTTTCTACAAGCGTGAGAAGAGATTCTTATTAGGAATTGCCTAAAGTCTGATCTTACATTTCGGCTAGTCATTTTTTTTTGTCGGTAATTCTTGATACCGCTTTCTCGTTAGCGTATGCTATCGTTTGTCCCATGATTCCGCCACCTATGGAATGCAATATTATGAACGAACCAGAACCGCTCAGAGCGACGAGATCGTTAGCGCGCGTGTATCATGATTGGCACAGCGGAGTATAATATGCATGATCGGGTGAGAAGGGCGACGGTTTGCCTCTAATAAACAGAGATCACACGGGCGTATCCGTGAACTTGCACATTCACATATATGATAAACGTGCACTGATGTGTCTTCTGTAAATCTATCGCATCCCCATTCGTGCTGTCTGTGGTCTTTTCGCACAAGCAACGATTCAGCCTGATCTACCACCAAGGAAATCATTCATCTGACAAGATCATCCAGCTGAGTCTTTTACTATACATATGTCTAATCTAATCAAAATCTATCGGTTTTACTTGATTGCTATGTAAATTCTGCAGCATGATAGTAAATAATTTACGTAAATTTCTTTTTTCCAGAAAGTAATTATAGTCTCTCGATCAGTTCGAAATATATTTTGAAGATTCACAACTTATAGCTTCTTATTATAAAGTAAGATTTGCAACTTCATAAACTCCTGAATTATATTTTCCAAAGAAAGATTTTAAATTCTAATATTTACTGAAAGAGTTATGTGAATTTTAATGGATATACTTTAAAATTCCATTAATTATGTATTGTAATTAAATCTCTTTTAGTATGCATTAAATTATGTTAATAAAACTAGATAAAAAATTAATATACATTATATTACAGTAAATCATCATAAATTTTAATAAATTAAAAACTTCTTTCTGAAAATATTTATTAATATTAAAATAGACCACGTTTTAATCCAGTTGAAAAGAATTCATTAATTCAGTTAAAATTTGTGTCCTCCAATATAAGTTCTGAACCCGCGACCCAATTTAAATTAGGATTAAGATATTAAGTTCGGAATCCTGTTAGTGTTGAGAGACACATAAAATCGCGGAGCGATCTAGGTGGTGGATCTAGCGTATCTGTGACACAAAACACTCATCTAACAAGTTTCAAGCGGAACGTGAGACGGCGGTTTACCTTCGTCGCTAAAGTGAGACCGGTTCGTTTCAGGGAGGATTACGAAAACGACTCTATTTCCCGGGCGTATCTAGCGAGCGGTCATAGAGCGGATTAACCACAGATCCTGGACATTGTGTACTAGTCGATAGGCAAACAATGAGTTTCGAGCGTAGGTATGGCGACAACAGCTTTTCGCCGAGTGAAAGATAGAGACAGAGAAGTGTGATATTTAACTACGCTGAGACAACGCGACATATCCTCATAGCAGGTACCTGCAATCAAGAGACTGGTCAGCGAAATTCGGTCGGTGGGCCTCCGCTTTACTTGACTAGACAGCGTGGGGAACGTGGCCGGGGTTGCAGCGCGCGTTAATGGTAAAAAGATCCTCGCTCGTATAAGAGGAAGAACGAGGCGGAGGGATGGAACGTTCGTTGAACGAAAACGTCGATCCGACCTGGCAGTCGCGACAATCGTGTCGATTTGCACAATCGAACGTTCTACAATTCAATTATCCCTCTTCCTCGTTCAACGTCCTTTCTCGTGCGCGACAGTTCTAAGTGCGGACCGTGCGATTCGAGCATGTGATCGATATATAAATAAAGATGTCACGCCGTCTTAATGTATCTCAATGTAAGCCGCTGCCAATTTCCGCGACAGTTAAATGCACGCCGCTTCCGCGTGCGAAAAGATAACGACGAATTCTGTACACGAATCTTTCTACCAGTAAAAGATCGCGCTGCGAAATCTGCGATAGAGGTTTGGGGAAAAGCGGAGGGCATAGGCGCCGACGTATTCCCGATTTCGATGTATTTAATTAATTCAAGTTAAACGAGTTAAATTCAAACAGCGACGACAAGCAAGTTTTGAAACAGCCCCCGATTCTCCAGAGTGAAGATTGGGCAAGAAGTTTACAACTTCTCCTAAATAAAAATTGCAACGAGACGAGGCCACGGCTCTTCAGGGGCTTGTGTAACAGCCCGTGCACCTATCAAATTAAATAGACTATCAAGAGTGCACTACTCGTTCAATTGGCTGGCGCAAGCTGAAGAGACTCGATTATCACGCGCCGCCGGCGCCTATGACGATGAGTAAGCAGTAGACGGTTATTAGATAGTTACCAATGTGAGTAAGTAAATTGTACGTAGATTATAGGCGTGTGTTAGATGTGAGTAAGGTAGGTTTTCCGCTTTAAGTAGACGCTGTTGCGCGCCGGGGAGTTCACCGCTGTGTCGTTACTGGAACATAGCCGGTGCTCGTTTTCACACACGCAAAGGACACACACACTTTGCCGCTAGCCAAAGCAGCTACGGCAATCCCGCGCGCGAACGTCGCACAGGGTGTCCTTTCTCAACCCTTTCTTGCCTGACCGCAACAAAGGTATACATAAAGAGCAATCGGTGCCAAGTGCTGGCGGGGCAAATATCAAAATTCGTTTCTATCTCTATCGTCGTAAATCGAATGGACGTTAAATTTAAATATACAATCACAATCGCAGCGATCACGTTTGTGCATCGACCTTTCAAAATGCATATCTTCCGGAAGATTGGCGAGTTCATCAGACAGCTTCTCGAATTTTCATGATTGTTGAATCCAACAATGCAAACTGGCCATTAGTTTAACGAATCGCTACTAGAGCGAAAGAAATAAAACAAAATAATCGCGTTTGAAAGCAATTTCAAGCAATTTGGGCAACAGAGGGTTGAGAGGATAAACTCGCTCTCGCAAAGATGCTGAATGCATCTTCCCCTTGTAGCTTCGAAAGTCAGTTGCACCAATGTTAACGAAGTGACACAGTTCTCTTCGTTCTCGAACCGTTTCAACAGAAAATTTTTCTCCTTCTGATAATTACAGTAAGCTATTGTGTATGTAGAAAAAAAATTAATTGAAATATTATTTATTACAAACTGATATTATTTTAACAAAATACTAACCGGATGTATAATGACATTTCAGAAAAGCTTTCTGATATCTACATTATTGTGAAGAAAATATTATAATCACAAACTAGGTGTCGTAAGAAATAAGCAGAAGTGATTGCTAATCTTAATTCAGGAGTTTCAACAGCCACAATCACAGGTGCAATTGATTCCGGAAACAGTAAATGCATAACTACAACGTTTTCAGCGTAACGAACGACAACAGAATCCGGCAAAAAAAGATATTTGAAATCCTTTAGCGAAGCGTGGGAAGAATCTCTCTCTCTCTCTCTGTTACAATATTTGCCGGAATGCATCACTAGAAAGACTCACCTTCGTCGACGCAGGGAAGCATTTTGTCCTGGTAAGCCGAATTGACCTCTGGGGATCACCATGCGCGCGTTGCCCTGAGCAGGCCGCGAACCCCCGTGCGCCTGCAGCGTGCTCAAATGAGCGGCATACCCGTCGTACAGTATTGTCGCCATGGCTTGATGCTTCTTGGATACTTTGCCGATGATGAAGATCTGGCTCGGTTTGAGACTTACCGCCGTATACACGTTAATGTCCTTCTCGCTGCCGTACGCCTGATGGATTATCATACCGTGCTCCTACATTCAATTGATCGTTATTAATTAAAGTGTTAATACTGTATCGCATAGAAAAAACAAGAGACAAATTATCATAATTTAACTCGTTCCAAGATTTAAGAAAACAATTACTAAACTTTCATAACTTTTGATAAAAAATCTTGATATTTTAAAACGGATGGACTTGTAACGGTACATTCTAAAATGCATATTTTTATCGGTTGCCGAACACGAATATGCAATAAATTCTATCATCGTTACATGCTACTTATTTTTAAAAAATTAAATCAAATAATGATTTATTTGTGTAAATTTACTTATCAATTAGAAAACAAAAATATTTATCGTTTGAGAATTTATATATATACACATAAGTATTTAATTGCTTTATCTCGTTTTATTGTTATACAGTTATGTATAATAACTATATAATCCCTATAACAAGCTTCGCACAAACCTTCACAAGCTTATTCAAGTAGGCGGCTTTGTGGGCGAGCGGATCCCTGGACAGGCCGTCGGCAAATGAGACAAGACCATGAGGAAAATTATGCTGCGACAACCAGGAAACTACTGTCTGTTGTTGCATATCGGGTCTCGCGGTAATATAAATGATAAGGTAACCCAGTTCCTGCCAATGCCTGCCAGAAATAATGAAGAATTTTTATTTAACAACATTCTCTTCTTGATAGCTTTTTACTAAAAAAAGAAAAAAAAAGAAGATATTGTAACTTTATCAAAATATATATATATTCTTGTAGCTAATTTCTAGTATTTTATGACGTCTTTTTGTTTAAACAAATCGATTTTTATCATAAAATATTGAAATAAAAAATGTTGTACAAAATACTTGTAAATATAATAATTTCCTAATGTATAAATGTATAACAAAATAAAAATTTAACCTTCAAATATGATCTTATACGTACATTCAATGAAAAGAACTTTGTGTTGATAAAAAAAATAATATTAAAAGCAAAAACAGTATAAAAAATTTTATTTTTTAGATATGTTTTGCATTTTGCAAATAAATAGATAAACGCAGTTCGCAAAATTCAAGTTACATTCCGTCTTTGTAATACGTTACCTCACAACATCGACAGCACCAGCCCAGACTTTTGGATCTTTCCCACTCACCGACTTACTAGCGGCAAAAGAACCGTCTATGCTAAAAACCACGCACTCAGTTCTCGGCGGTATTACAGTCATGAAAAAATCTACAGATGTATGATCTCCCCTGAAATGTGAACGCGCATACATTCGGATTAAAAATTCATATTTGCCTCGAGATAAAAAGAAAGAGCTAATACATATTAATTACATCTTTAATTGCTCTCATTTATTTTCATCTATACTTCAACTTTCATTCATGTGACATGAATATTAATATTAATTTCAATCTTTCTCGATTAGTGTATGAATTATAATTAATTGTAATTATTAGTAATAAATTCAATCCATATGGATTATGATTTGCATTAATATTTGTTTTAAAGAGGATAGTATATTACCTTACAACCATCTTCACTGGATAAAGTCCGTAACCTAGCGCTTTGTCATCTGGTATTTTGTAAATTATTCTACCATTTTTGTCAGTTACCTCAGTAGAGAGGAACGTCCACTCGCCTGCCGGTGCGTTTTTCATAATATGGATATCAACTTTCTCACCTACGATAATGACAAATATTTTCTATGTTACATTTAATATCACACGATTTTTTGCCGATAATAAATTTATTAATAGGTTTAAAATTATTGTTATTATTATTATTATGATAAATTTAGCAAGTTACAGTCTAAACTACAAACACTAGACTTTGATATTAATTAAATAAACTCTTGGTACAAAGATCAGTTTTATAAAAAAATTTTCTTTTTAATTTTTATTAATACCTGTTAAAGTTATCATATCAATAGGACTGTACATAAACCTAGCGACTAATACTTGTGGTACACCTTCCCTCACGATGACATCATTCGCTCTGTGATTGGCAGCAACATTCTGAAATATGTCAATGTGAGCAATGCAGCTAAAGAATTTTTTAACAGCCAAGAGACTAAACGATTAAATTTAACGATTAATTTGATAACCTTGATAAAGATTCCTTTATCATTATTATTCATTCGAACCTTAAGTTTAACGGAGGTACGCTTCTTATTCCATTTTTCTCTGGGTTGACCTGGACGGAAGCAAGTGAGATCTTTTTCCTCGTTGCCGAGCAATGGCGCATCGAATCTACCCAATTGCCTCAAAATGAACGCGATTACGTCCGAAGATTCCCAATAACTAGCGTGGAAGATATGCGGCAAGGCGTTTGTAGGAAAATTAGTGAGACCCTCTGGACAATAGAGTGCATAATCTAGTCTTTTGGTGCCCCACCATTTTTGCATCACTGAAACGAGATAATAAGCGCTTCAGACTATTTCAGTAATGCTTGACATTAAAGAGAATAATCCGCTTTTTCGATAAAAAAAAAATCGCTCGCTTAGAAGAGCTATCGCAAATTTAATTTTGGAATTCAAGCTTCTAGATAAGTCTTTGAATTGTGGATCGATACTCATGTAAATGGGATAGCGACGTAAATAATTTCTACTTACTAGCAGACACTGCCTGTAGAGGAACATTGTCGTTAATGCCTGACATTGTACTTTGAATTGATATATCGGATAATCTTCTTAAATGCGACATTTGAAAATTGGGAACATTCAATCCATCAGCGAACAGCTGCGGATTGGTCTGGATAGTCTCCACTGAAATTCAGTTTACAATTTACGTTAAAGTCTTTTATTCGAATTTCATCACAGATCTTGAAGAACAGAAAATACAACTTCTGCTCCTGCGTTCCATAATTCTGTTCGTAATCTAATACACTTACGCAAGTGATAAGGCTGACCATTGCCGAGCGGGTACTTTACATATTCGGCAATGTTGACCGGCGCAATCAAGGAAAACCTCGCTGAGATCAAGGGTTCTAATCTCGCGGCCACAGGTTCCGTAGGATGAAACAGATTGTACACTTGATTAACTAACGGCCTGGGTATGAAACTATTCTTATCGTTGGACGCGATGATCTTTCTGTAAGCGAGGACTAGCGCGAGCGGACTACCGAACATAAAAAAGTCACCCACTTCGAAATCCAGCTTGTTGTCACTGCAAACGACACGTTAATAAGAAACAATTAAGACCTTTCTTAATCATGAGTCAATTCTACTGTGCAATGCACTGAGTCTAAATTAAGTAAATAATTGACAACGGGTCCCGATGAATCAGTTTTTCCCTTTTATGTCTTATTTTTTTAGCTCCATTTCATGAGAAGTTTCAGTCATTAATGCAGTCACTTACCTCGTGCCAGAAGACCTTCTTCTAGGAGACGGCGCAGACAGATGCTTACCATCTTCGTTTCCACTGTTCTCGTTGCCCTGCTGGCCGTTACCCTCCAGAATGCTATTTTCGCTGCTGTGCCTCGAGTGCTGTGTCGCCCTGCACAGGGCATCGTAGGTCAGGATCGACCCCACCGAATCACTCACGAAGCAGATCTGTCCGCTGAAACCTTTACCCTCGTCGCTCTTGAGGAAGTCATGGTACACTTGATTGGCACTCATCACCACGCGCGACACTGTCTCTTGATATTCGGAACTCGAGCTCGCCAGTAGCGGAATCGCGCCGATCGGGATGGTATCGTGCGTCACTTGTGGAGCGTCCATGCACGAAGGCGACATGTCGAAGCTGTATGGACTCAGGCTACGCAATTAAAAAATTATAAATATAATTATAATATAATATAATTATAATTATAGCTGTATTAACATCCATTGATGTTTTGAATGGAAAAAATAGATGATATTACCTTGACAAAATTCCCAGGCCTTCGGTGCAGATGGAAGGACAGGAAACGAATTTAATGGATACGTGACCGACCATGCTAGGATAATGCGTTCTCATGATGGATTCAAAAGCTCCACGGAATGTCGTTATGTCTGACTTTTTCGCCGTTAAATCGACATTCGCATCTGAAATACAAACGCGTAATTCTGGATCAATACATGCTATATACCTACGTACTTTCTTTCTTCTCACGCGAATATATCAAATAAAGAAATATATAGAAAATAAAAGTTATATGTTGACCAAACAATTACGTAATAAAGAACATACATGATTACATACGAAATAAAAAAATCTATAATACTAATTTTCATAAATTAAAAAAAAATTAAGAGTATGTAAATTATAAATTATACATTAAACAGAAGTTACTTACCTAAAACGCTACCGCCGTGCATCACGATAATTAAAACAGTAATTTTGCACGGTTGATGCGTAGGGGAATGTTGAGGGGACGCTGGACACGACATGTCGATGCTGGCCGACGTGCTGATCTCAAGCAGTCTCTTACTGCTTCGTTCGCTGGTTATACGTTGAAGATACGAAGGTGAAAATATCGTATCCTCTGAAAATAGAGAAAGCATCCTCGTTGTTATCGTACCTCACGTTAAAAGAAGAAAGAAGAGCTTAATAAGAAGAACTTAAATTCATTCTACGTTTTATCTGCAAATTTCGAAAATAAAAATAATTTAACAGACGGAAAATAATGCGGTGCAAGCTTAATAATAATTATATTTACGTTACAAAGATATTTTTGTAAATGTATTAACCTTGCTCGTTTGTCGCAGATGGTGTTCGCACAGTCGCGTCTTCCCCTTCTGCTAGAAGATCCAAAGAACTCCATTTAGCTAACGAAGAGCTATCTTCAAAGTCCTCTGTGTAATCAGAAATGTTAACACTGCTTATGCAATGTGCCTTCTCCTTTCCATTAGTCGTATATGTTTCGAAACAAGACTCGCAATATATAGAGCGTAAATTGTAAAATATTATGTTTCAAAGAGCACGATCTCATAAACCATAACAAATTGTAACAATACTTGTTTAATTACGATATATAAATAAAAATTCAATTGCTGCAGTTATAGATTATTCAAATTCTAGATTATATAGAGGTTTCATTTCGCACATATGTTACTCCGTCTAATACAATACCTATGTGAAACTCTATTTAAGCAAAACGAATTAATTCTCGTTAGCCACTAATCAGTTAAGTCTCTTTACTACGTAGCCATGCTGCCGCATGCCGCATGTGAGCCTTTTGCGGATTCTGTCATGCTCGAGTCTAATCTTAGTCCGCATGTTGCGCAGAAAGATGCAAACTTTGTATGTGCCAAACAGTCCGATTTATCGCATCTGTTTATCGTGTCTACGCGTATTTTAAGGCCATTCTTTAATTTTGCAAAGATGACATGTGTGTGACGGTTCTCACTTTTTTTTTTTCTTATTTGTCTTCCTTTCTCTCGCCTCGCAACTTATCTTGCTTATTACTTAATCACTCTACGTGTCCTACCTTTGCGTATAACAGGTATAATGAACCCAGCTGCAGTATGGGGGTGCGACATAAAAAACAAAGAGGATACACATAAAAATGCAGCACATGCTGTTGATTCTACTTGAGTTATCTATACATTGTCGCAAGACACACTTCTTTCGCATAACTCACAAGAATTAGCACAAGAAGAAGCGTTATAAATATTAATATCATCAAATCACCAAAAAAAAAAAAAAAAATTATACGTTAAGAGAATTATTTACAGAGAAATATATTATATACGAAATATCATATATTTGCATATCGTCAAATAATAGAATGTGAAGAATTCGTAATAGATATTTCCTTGAAAATTTTCTGAACATTATTATTCGTTCTATATTAATTTCAACATTAATGCCTGAATACTAAATTCTTTGGACTGTTCAGTATTAATCTTTTATATAATACATCTTTTGTACGTATTTTTTATCTTATATATAAATATCTCTTAAATAATTTCTCTTTTCCTTAAACTGATCAGACTCGATATTTGTAACATCGTCTTTCGATTTAATTTATTAAGACTCATCACGACGGAAAGCAGCGTGTCGCAGAATTATCATTCGGCTATCATTCATTTATTACGAACCGTGTTAATGCGTTTTCTCTAGATTATCACAGGCATGCTATATACGTACGCATGCGTCGTAAGTCTTACCCTGGCAATCGAAGAACTCGTCGTCGCTGCCGGATTCCGACTCTCTGACAATGCTTTCCAGCCTCCAGTTCGCGATCTGGATGTCGAAGTTCTTATTCGTATTCGGCGAATGCAGGGGCATGTTGTTCTTCATCCATTTCTTCTTGGTCTTTCCACCGGTGGCCGCGCTTCTACAACGCAGCTCGCTTTTAGTCCAATTAATTTGTTAAACACGATTTATCAGTTCTTTTGTTACCGAGAACGTTATTGATTGACAAGTTCATTCACATGTTTAGTATAATTTAATAACATAATAGAGAAATAGAGTATCATATAGTTTAGCATCGTGCAAAATTATTAGAGCTTAAAACTGATAAAGTTTTCATTATGATTATATTTATTCATTATGACTATATTTATGATTATATTTATCCTTCATTTTTTTATTGCAGATTGTTTTTTTCTTTACTTTTATAAAGTACGTTATAAACGAAATTTTGTATGTTCGTATAAAAAAATAGTCGACCACAGGCCGTTAATTTCTGCGAAACGTCCGGTCAATAATGTGATAATTCAACCATATGCTAAATGGAATCTAATATCGTATCTGCATTAATAATATAATCATCATCACATTACTTTATGACCGTCTAGAACGCAGTTCTTTATAGCAGTTAGCTACAGTCAAAACCACAAACTATATACTAACGTATGACACAATATGTGCATTTGCGATTATCACAAATGCCTTATAGTCAACAGATACAAAAATTAATATTTTAGCTGTTGCAATAACCTACGATATAAGATGACGTACGTGATCAATTTTTCCATATTTTTGCATAATTATAAAAATCATTTTTCTCAAAAACTATCATAAAATGATCAAGCAAAAAATTTGTTCCGTGTCTTTAACTCATTGTCGAAAAATCATCTTTTCGCCAAAATATGTTGTACCGCGATTTAGCGAACGTTCTGGTAGATCATGTTACTAAATTCGACACTTAAAATAATAAAAAAAACAAAAAAAAATTCCGAAAAATTAGTACAATTTTTTTTTTAGAATAAAATCTTGATCGCAGAAGGATATAAATTTGCTCATCGGCACAACTTTCGGCATTTTGTACGAAGCACAAATAGAACGAGATGATTACTTACTTGATCTCATCCAAGTCGACCGGCGAGTCCCCGGGACTGATCTCGCCCTCGGAGCTGGCCGCTGTATTGATGATGGGAATGTCGGACGGCTTCCTGAGGGACGGCGGGCTCTGCACCACCTCGTTCTTCTCAATGCTGCCCAGGGTGGCCGCCAGCGTCTTGGCCACCGCCGACTGCTCCGTCGACGTCGCCGTCGCCGTCGTGTTTGACGTCGTCGTTGTCGCCGTCGCGCTCTTCCGCGTCTCTCCGTCCTCGAGCTCACCCGGGCCGCCCTCCGAGTCACCCAGACCCATCTTCCGCTGCAGCGCCAACTGCGTCTGCCGCTCGATCTCCCTGATGTCCTCCATCGTCAGACCGATCCACTCGTCCTGCCAGGCCCAGGCCTGCCTGTGCGCCCGCACCATCGTCTTCCGCAGAGCTGGAACCGACCTTAATACGTCTCACGCACGGCCGACCGGGTGCGCCGGTTTAAAATTAACCCTTTCGATCACAACCTCTTTTGTGTTACGGGAAAGAAGAACGCTGTTGCAGCAGCGACAAACGGCAACGCTCGATGTTGCGTATATACAAAAAGTAATAGATCGCGAATTGATTACGAAATAGATTACGATTCTGTTAATTCGACGAGATAAGTTAAAAATCTATTTTTATTTCTCGGATGCTTCGACTTTTATCAGCGAATATAAAGATAAGTTAATATTTAAATTGAAGTGTTTGCAATTCAAAAAATCTAAAAAAATGTCGGAGATCATTCATATATTTGCAATGCTAATCTTTTACTTTTTTTAACTTACTTGGTGAATATTTAAACAGTTATATGTTAACAGCTTAATTTGTGATAAGTTTTTTAATTTGAGAAACAATCTAAATCAAAAAAGATTTTTTATAGCAAAACAAAGATTCATGATCGAAAGAGTTAACCCTTTAGCTGCCGGGCTCTTTGCATAAGAATTTATATCGTGTTAAATTTGGCAAACTCAAATCAAAGCGTCGTTATTTACAAAAAAAAAAGCGAAAAACGGATAAATACGTAAGTTACAACATACAGAATGCATCAGAGATCATAAAATTCCTTTGCTTTTTTAGTAAATTATGACTTCGCACCGTAGCTTTTTATAACTGTTTGCTTTCTAATATTAACATCAAATATCATTCTACATCGAATTTAAAATGTTTTTACACTCGCACGGTGCTGAAGAAGAAATTCTTCTTTCTGATTAATTTCAACAAAATGCACAACTTCTAAGATACACTCTGTGTAACGAGTTAGAATTCTTGGTTCGCATTACGAAGAGAACCGCATACTTAAATTTGCAAGGCCGAAGTTTCTCTAATTCCATTTCATTTCCAAGGAAAGAGCATGCGATATCTTTATTCAGAATTTTCAGAAAGTCCAATCTCTCTCATTTTTCTGGGAAATAATCTTCCCGGTAAAATGGCCCGATGCGAAAGACGGCCCCGCGTATAAGCACGAGATAAAAATGTCGACGGGTTAAATGCCCGGCATCCAAAGGGCAAGAATAGGGCAGAGAGGTGAGCACATAACGTGTACTAACCTACGTCGTCTATGAACTTTTCTAATTTCGTTTGCATGCCCCAATAATGGAACTCTATTCGGCATAGCTTGTACGCGCACATTAGTGACTTGCCCGACGGCGTTGGCTGTTGCTTTCCCTAGCGAGAGAATCGCTAATGTATCAACGGTGAAACTACTTAAGCGGATAGGTGTAAAAAAACTCTTCGAAAGAGAGATAGAGAGAAAGAGGGCAGAAAAAATGGGAGGGATGTATACTTCCACATCGGCCCAATAATCCTCGAGCCACGAGTCCTCCAGCGGGCCCCTTCCGGTCTTCTCCGACACGTACAGCTTCGGATCCTCGTCCTTCATGTAGTCGGCCCCGTACGGCTGCTCTTTGACAATGTCGATCACGTCTTGGGAACAGATTGTCGCGGAATCAGTCGGAGGAAATATGACCGTAGTTATTTCATAATTATTAATTAAATATAGTCATTTACTGCCTTATTAAAAGCAATGATAAAAAACGAACGCACGAGCATTCGTCTCTAGTATTCGGTAAAAATCATACGAGAGTTACAACGTAAACAATTTTATCGAAATTTAGAAATTTAAAAATTTATTTCACAGACGTATCACGAAATATTCGTCCTATCGTTACGATTTACATTTTACATCACAAAGTTCAAGGGGTAGTTCTCGGGTTCAACTACATACATCTAGCTATTAAATGGCACGGCAATGGTATAGTTCCGTTCTCTAATCTAGACTAATCTCCTCTTTACCCACGATCCTGTTCCTGTAATCACTGCCGGTGAGATTGAAGACATTCTCCCGGTGGCCGTTGTCCGGAAAGTAGTAGGTCTCGATCTCGACGGAGAACTTCCCCACGAACGGGCACGTGTACCGGGTCTTGGTGTACGGATAGGCGTTCCATGCCTCCTCCTTGGCGATCAACGCCGACTTGGGCAGGAGGCTCTTGAACCAGCCCGGCAGGTGACTGCCCACGTGAAAGATTTTGAGTGTGTACTGCCCGTTACCGCCTGGACCGTTGCTGTACGGCTCGTTCTGGATTATCTCCACGCCGCTACCGGCACCCTTGCTCTCGTCCCGAGATTTTTTCTGTGCGAGTTACACAGGGAGTTACGCGAACGGTTATTGATCACTTAAGGAGCATTCGCCGTCGGCCGTAAAAATCTTTATCCTTGTCTTTATATCGACGGAAGAACAATCGCTGTCGCGCAGGCATACTCGCGGCAAGGATACGCAGATAGGAGAAAAAAAGCAGAGGAAAAAAAGATAAGCTGGAGAGATGTGCAAAATAACCGCAAGGAACAAAAAAACGTAACGTAACGCTGAGGATGTCGGGTCAACGGGCATTTGAATGTATATAACGTGTACATAATGCGTTTTGCGAGAGAAATTAATCGCGACAGAATCGTTATTGACAATTATGCATAATTTATTACGGACAATATGTATTTATTACAATTGACAAGTAATATTGTATACGACGAGTCTTTATCATAAAATCGCAAAATCGATCGTACGTAAATAAACTCTGCGAAAAATAGACAAATCGAGATAAATCAAACTTCTAAAAAAAGAAATCGGGAATTTACGGCTCTGTCTAAAATAAACTCTGTGCCTGTGGCTTAGATCAGAAAGTGAACGTTTTATAGAACCGCGTAAAACGTGCGAAACAATAAATAAGCCTTAATTAATATAACAAATAAATCGGGATTAAATCGATCCTCTGTCGAGGAGGATAGCGCACGCGAAGCGTATCAACCGCAACTGGGATAATTGCGCATAATTACCGCTATCATGTACAGCTGAGCGATTCGATACTCCTCTACCGAGAGAGGCAACGGTATGCGATACTCCTTGATAAACATTTTGTCGAAGCCTGTCCTGTATCACCCGTGCATCCTCGCAAAGTGCATCTCCCCTTCAGAGATACCGGACGCCGCCGCGTTCGACGTCTTCGCGACATCTCAAGAGGTCTTTTTCGCCGGGAATCACAAGTGATGTCTCCATTTTGCGCCAAGTGTAATCCTCTGCAATGATAGAAAAAAAGATATCTCCATATCTCGCGCTACATTCGGATAATCTGAATTTAAAGTACCGAGAGCTACGATTGCTACGCAGATATAGTACATTCGAGAACCCTCCGATTTCACGAATTCTCCGCTCGTGTGGGATAATAACAATCTTGTAAATCCAGGTAAAATCCAGAGGATAGTGGCCACGCTTGGAAAAAAGCGCCGACGAGAAGTGAATAAGTAAAGAGAAAAATAAAAGATGCAAATACAAAAGTTTTCTCTATTGTCTACATTCTATTCTTACGAGTATCAAACTTCTAATGACAGTTCGACAATAATATTGAGGGATATTGATAAATACAGCCGACGAAACAATCGAGTGTAACAAAAGTTCTTTCAATTGCGAGAAACTGGGCTGCGTAATTAAATGCATTCGTTTGCAATTGAAAATGAGGCTTTAATTTCGCCCCAACTCATTTATTACGAAATAAAATAACAAAAATGACGAAAATTAATAGGCGCCGGCGAACATTTCTATTATTACATCCAAGCTGTGTGCGCGCCGTTGGAATTTCTTTGATTAATTAAATTCTTTGACAGCCCCGTCTTGATTGCGGGATACACGTTGCGGCGAAGGTAAACCACGTCGATCGTATCGCAAGCTGCCGAGCTCGCTCGAGCTCAGCGATACGTAAATATCGCATCCTTCTTGACGCGAATATTTACCGTGCCGGAAATATTCGCAGTTCCGGCGTTTAATCACGGCGTAAAGTAGGCATTAATAGTGAACGCTTTACACACTAAACTCGTGTGTGTGTAAAGAATAAAAGAATCAAGTTTACTATCTACGTAATTAGATTTCAGTTCATCAACGCATTCGGTAAACGGCATCTGTTTATTATGATACATCGCTATTATAGGCTGGAGTATGGCCTTGGTGCATAATTGATAGCTGAGCGAAATAATAATGGGTTATTTGCAACACTGAATAATGGAGTAATATTTACACGTATTTTGAACGCTAAATCACGTAACTGTTGATTACATTGTCAATAATCGTATGAATTATCAATGTGTAACCTCGGTATTTTTTACGCTGTGTGCGCTCTTATTTCCTTCAATTCAAATTATACATGCCCCGGGGGTAAAACAAATATATGTTTCTTAAAAAGGTCATGGCATTTCAAGTTACGTTACTACTTTTTGCGAGCTCGAACAGGAAGACAACGTTAATTTCAAACCTCAAGGATATATTTTAATTCGTTCTTCATCGTGTGTATCGTCATTCCCATAATAGCCGCGTGAAAAATATTATCCCATAAAAATCGGCCGATGTAACTATCGATTTTCCAGGGAAATAACTCGCGCGGCACGTAGCAGTCGCGCGTTCTCGCATCGAGAGACAGAAGCAATAAACAAAACGTTACGCAAAACGTTTATTTATACGCGCGCAGGTCAGCCCCGGCGCTCGTGCGTCCACTCGAATTTTATATCGCGCGCGAAATTAGCAACCGGCAATTACGCGCGACACAGATATCGGCTCGCTGCAAAATCCCGCCTGCATCGATGAAACTACAATCGTTCCTGTAAACAAACACACACATACGTAAACACCCGCACACATAACATACGTTACACCTACTCAAAATTGCAAACTTTAATCGCCGTGCTGCCCGCAAATGCACGTTTACTCTGTGCGCGAATGAGAGCAGATAGTAGATGTTGATGATAACGTCGGACGTACCATTCACGACACCACCAACATGCGGCGCAGTTTCCGGAAGAGACACTTCGAGTTTTTACATCTTCCTCGTGTCCCGATTAAAGTTCGCTTCGCGGAAGAGAGATACGCGGTATCTGGACACGAGGACACGCATGTCACTCCGTCACTCCGGTTCGGAGAAATTTGCGAAATCACACTCGCTCAACGATACGATAATTGATCCTTTAATCTCCAAATTCGCGACCATTCGTCGCGCTTCACACGAAGCGCGAAAAATTGCGAAGAGAATTCGCCAAATTTACACGCGATTTTCGATGAATAAACTCTTATTTTCTACACGTCAAAAAATTTTTTATTAAATCATTTTTATTCCGTATATATAATTTAATAAAAAAACATATATAACTATATATACACATTTGTAAAATATATTTTTTTCAGAAATAAAATATTGTGGAATTGTTAATTAAACAAATTTGTTAATTTAATCAAGAATAAATTTTAAGTGACGATAAAATGAAACAAAATGTAAAGCAGATTATTGTAATTAATAATGTAATATTATTAATGTAATATAATTAATATTGTATCGCGAGAAAAGAGAGAGATTTTATAAAAAAATCTCTGTAAATAATCTTTAACATAAATGATTTTTAAAATCGATGACAATTACTATATATTTTTCATAAATAAGTGTAAAATGTGTTCTTCAAAAAAACTTTACATCCTTCATTTATCCATCATTTAATTGATAATAGAACATAGAAATTAATGCATTATCGTATTATATTTATTATCCTTTTCAAAACCTATCGCACAAAAGATAACATCTGCACTAATAGTATCATGGCATTATAGACTCAAGAATTTTTTTTAAACTCAATACTGAAGACGACAAAGAGCGACACAATTACGAAATAAAAGTTAACACGCGTCGCAATCAATTAAAGAAAATGTTCGTAACTTTTTTTTATATTGTACGAGTTGACAACGATTAAGAGGAAGGGACGTACCGTCAAAAGCGTTTTGGCGAAGAAGGCGGGCGGCCTAATTTACCGATAAAAGGGTTAAACAATGACGTCAAATGATGTGAATGATGTCACAGCGCGGGGACGGTGGAGGCGACGATTGAAGGGTACTAAGGGGGGCGGCACGGCACGACGACGACGGGAGCAAGTGATGACATCGAAAAGAGACGAATACACACAACATGCGAACACGGCGACGCGCCGCCACCGACTGACGGCCGAGCGCGGACGAGGCTGCTCGATTGCGCGGCGCGATCGCACGCGCGACTCGTCGAACCCGCGAAATCGCTGCCAGCCAATCGGAGCTCGTACCTCGAGACCCGACGAGCCCGCGGGCAGGGCCGTAAATTAAACGGCGCCAATGAACAAACATGTTATTTTACAACAAAGAGCGGGCCCGCGCGCGTAGATCGCCGTACGTTTACGCCACGTCACATGGTCGAGAGATTTACGTATCCGGTGGTCTGCGGTTACCTTTTTTCTCTCTCAATTATTAAAATATTTAAAAGACTCGTTTATATATACTATACATGAGGAACAGCGTTGTTTAGAGATAAAGATAAATGAATTTTAAAGGTCTACACACACATTTCCAACATGCTTCTATATTTTACACAAGATATTACCAATGCACTTTTATAAGGATTATATCGCATTTTATGATGTAAAAGTGTACTAGTAATATCTCTCGTAAAAACGAATAATGCGAAATAATGTGCAATTTATTGAAGAGAATTTCCAATGAACAATTTCCGTGCGATCGCGTAATGACGCTGAAAAGATCTGCAGTCTACCAAAGACTATCGCGTTTCATTGCAAAATGCAACGGAGGACGGTCGAAGGCGTTTGCAGATCTCATATGCGCGTCCCCGAAATGAGAGATTCTCGTGACAATTCCGCGATGACAGCTCGAAGACATGTACTCCGCCCCCTCATCCGCGTGGCGGATATACGCGAGATCTCGCCGGGGATCGTTTCCAGATAATGGAGACGTGATACCGGAGATTGTTGTTAGATAATAGAAATGTGACGCCGGGGTGGTTAACTCGCCACTGCCCGGACAACCACCGTCCTCCGCCGCCACCCGGTCTATTGATCGCCCCCGAACGGCCAAGAAGGCGCGAGACCAGCTGCGCCACTCGCGCGCCGGCGAACCCCCGCGAGAAGGCGAGATCGAAAAACGGCGTCGCGACGCCGCGACACCGGTGTGCGCGTCTCGTCTCGTCTTCGCCGGAGTCACCTTAACCCTTCCGGGACATCTGTCATCGTCGCTCTAATTCGACAGTGAAAATATCCCGTCTTTCGAGCCTGTTCTAACCCTGTTTTTGTTCTCAAACAACCCTCTGAAGTCTTTTGAAATTTCAAAATTGTCAAGAACCGTTGGCTCCTTTATTCTTTTATTCGCTTAAAATTTAATACAGTAAATTGATCTAAAATACGCGGAAAAATGCAGTCTGAATGACGGAAGATGTAGTAATATAAGAGAAACATTTTTGACATAGCGATTCTAGGAATTTTTTATTTATTGAAACTTTCATACAGCGAATTCAAACATTACCAATAGATTGTTATTTCCATAACAATTTCAAATAAATAAGTGTCATCGAATCGTGAGTAACGAATGAGCTGCAATTACTTTACGCAACCAAGAGTCTTGCTCCATTAAAATATTAATATTTTATATATGATTTCCCCCCCCCCCCTCTCTCTCTCTCTTTGGCGTCAAGAACTGATTAAAAATTAAAACAACCGCCGCGTGTCGAGCAGACAAGCTATCATATCCGTCTCGCTGCTATTTCCAGCTACCAGTAGCAGGATCAAGTTATTCCCACGCTTCTGCTAATTGCCCACTTTCTTGGGCAATGCATACGGATCTTCGACTTCATAACCGTGTGGCGGCACCGCGTTTTTCACGGGATTATGGAACAACGAGTGATTTCCATCGCCCCAAGGAAACGGCTGTTAAAAATAAAAGAAAGTTATGCATTGCGGATTTCTTAGTTATTCGCAAAATTCGAGTATTCGAATGAGCTGTCGGAGAATTAATATTTCCTAAGTAGATTCGAGCTAAGATTAATTTGCTATCCATCGTGTAAAGTCTCCGACAGATGACAGATGAGTAATATCAATTTTATACAGTTTCTTGGGTTTCTAGATAGACAAATTAATTTTACCACGAGTCACTGAAAAAAAAGATTGACGCGGTTAAAAGAGGTGTAATAAAACAGAAAAATAACTCTGTTTACAAATTCAAAATCAAATGAGACGAAACTTTTCTCCATCTCCCTTTTGCGAATTTAACGAAATATAGCAACAATTATAGTGAAATTTATAGCATAGGCGAATTAGAGTGAGGTCAATGAAATTGTGGGTCTTCATTAGTCGATAATTGAGACCGTCAAGGAAATAGGTTAAACTGTCAAAGAGGCACAACAGAGTATCCGTGATGCAGAAATGACCGAATAAGAATTTATATAAATTCCAGAATTACCAGAATATAATAATCATGCAAAATTGGAAAAAAAAAACTAATACAAATGCGGATTTCTTAGACATTCACGTATTGAATATTTCAAGAATAATATTTTCAAAGTAGATTGTATCAAGATTGACTCGCTATCTCACTTTTAAAGTGAATTAAAAGTAGAGAAGGAAGCAAATTATATGTATCTTACATTCGTCTTTATGCTCAATCGATGCAATTCGTGAATAAAAATTCTACAGAGAGCAAACTCTGCAATGTGTCTTAAACGCCGTGCGTTATAATGGCAGATTAATTACATCTCGCATTCATTTTCATATTTGATTAATTCAAATAAGCGCAATATAAATTCCGTGCGTAATGTCCGCAATGCAATTACTCTGCGATTGATTCATAATTTTATAAATTTATATACAAAATAAATTGTGTCGCGCGCGGTGTGTCAACGATTAAACTTCCACTGACGAAGATCGATCGCGAAATTCGCCGTTTGTAGTCATAAAACAGCACGGTAGCTCCGCTGCGCGAGAGAGAGCCTACGTTCCGACGGTTACGTTCACGTAACCGTCGGATAATAATGGTAAGAAAGATTTCTTAAGTCCTCCTTCTCCTGACAGCTCTGACAAATGGGGCCGACCAGAACCTTAGTCCGACGATACATGTACGGGAGATCCAGGAACGGCTCCCGCGGCTGCTTCACTTTTTCTCGATGCCGCGCAAAGGTGATCACCGACATGAGCACGATGAGCGGTAACGCGCAGAACGACAGCATACGCCAAAGTACGACCTTGCGTGGATCTACGCTCACAAACGGTCGTACGGTTATTTACACTGTGATTAACGATTGTTGTTAGGAATTCCACGGCGAAATTAAATTGCATTGCACTCGTCATCTCTCCCGACGATTAAATTAAATTCGTGCCAATTCTCAATCTATAAAGTATTTCCTCTTTATGAACGTGCAATGAAATATCGAAATAAAAGGATGGAATATTGAAGTGAAACAAATTTAATTAGATTTTGAGTTATTGCTATGACATTAATTAATTGCGTTCAAATTTTGTTTTAATCTGCAGCAAATCGAGAAAAATATAAAAATTCGATTAATTATATTTAATTCTCGTGTAATATAACTTCAATGTGTTCAATAACTTTCTCTTTCTGTATCATATACTTGTACTTTTATACTTATGTAAATTATAAAAAAATAATTATTTTATCTTCTATACAAATTTATACATATTAATAAATAAAATTTATAGCAGTTTAAACTCAAAGTTCCATTTTTTCCAGAGAGATACACAACTCTGGCCTCTCTCGCGTTTCCTCCACTTCGATATAGATCATCGTTCGCAATTCTAATCTCAGGCCATGTAAATCTCGGCGTCGCAGAATTCCTGGTGCGCCAAGTCGCGAATTTATCGGGAAAGTTTGAGATACGCGTGGAGGAATTCCCAACGTTACCGGCGTGCGGGTGAGAAAACGGCGGCTCGGGAGGAGGAGGACAAGGCGGTTTCGTTGGCGGTGAAGGAGGCTCGCAGCGAGGATCGTCATCGACGTCCGTCAGGTCGGTGCACGGATCATCCTTCTTCGACACGGTTCGCGAGTCGCAGCCCTTCGATCTCTTGAACATGCCGAGCTTTCGCCGGAATGTCAGACACCGCAAATCGGATGGCCTCCAGATGCGAGCGAACGACGTCATGTTATATGCCTCGTGTCGTCTCGCCTTACGGGAATCCTCCCGGCTGCGCCCTCGGATTCTCTCGAGGGAAATACGGGGTGAAAGGTGCAATCGAGACTTTAAGAGTTCCAACCACGGACAGGCGCTTTTCGTTTGACGTTACCGTCACGGTTATATTTCGCGATAGTCAATTGACATTGGATGGCTTAGGGGAGCAGAAAAGTGAATAACGAATTTATGAAAAATTCGGCATGGTTGAATATTGGCTAAATCTCCGGAAATCCTGGATAGATATATCGGATGCCGCGCAAGAGCGTATCGAGACATGGAGTTTACGATGGATATAATATAAAATCGAATTTGTAACACGTATTATTCGAGCTAGTTTATTTAATATAACACCCGCGACGTTGCCCGCGAAACCCTAAAAGCAACGGTTCGATACGCTCTGCTATACGACGACGCCCGCCGACGCGGGTCTTAACGGGACGTCGAAGAAAATGTGGCTCCGTTTAATCCCTCCGGAAGATGAGATTAATGGCGGAGTGCACTTAAACGCGAGGACGTCGCGCTCACGAACGGATGCGCCGCGTGACAAACGGGCACATCGCTTAATCCGCACTTTATCGACACCCCACTACGTCTGGACCAGACGGAAGCTGGTAAACAGCCCGCCACCTGCATATCGCAATTCCCACCGAAAATATTTCCATATTTGCCTCTCGCGACACATATTCCTCTTCGATCAAGTATTTTCTTGGAAGCTCGGTCGCGAAAAACTCGTTTCGTCAAAACAACTTTTTTACAACTTCTAAACACAATAACAATAGCGCTTGTTATTTATCAGAGTTCACTTTGATTTGAGAAACAAAGATATATAAAATCTAACTATATTATAATATAATTATTATATTATTATATAATAATTATAATTAGTATATTATTATATAATAATTATAATATAATAAATATAATATATTATTATGTAATATAATATTATATAAAATAATACATAATTGTAATCATATAATACATTCGATTAAACGAAAAGTTTTTTTCGTTTTTTTTTAAATATTTATATACTATTGTCATCTCTTAGCAAAAAACGAAACAAACTTTTTGCTCAACTCAATAATATAATTATAAAATTATTTGATAATAATTATATAATTATAAGTAACACGTAATTATATAATTAATAATATATACAGTATATGACAAAATTGTTACGATAAAATCACATTCAGATTATAAATCGTATATAATGAAAAAAAGGGTTTGTATATACATATTTGTTTAGCATTCTCTAAAGGAGCGAAAAGAATAATTGAAGCTTGCCTGCCTAAATTTAGTCCTAATCGCAATAACCGGCGCCACACGTCAAGAAACCATATTTGACCTTCCATTCCCATAAAGATTGAATATCGAGTGAAGGAAAATAAAATTGTTTGCGAGCCGACGACAAAGGGCTCGCGCTGCAATTCCGCCTCGGATCTTTCGCGTTGGCATTTAATTACGCCTCTCTCACGGAGAGTCGCAAGTATTTGTCTTCTCACGCCGCGGCCGACGAATGGGGGATTTTCAGAATTTGATGGAATTGTAATGTCAACCGGTCTGACCTTTCGAGGGAAGCGCGGCTTGTCGGATATTCCGGTACGGTATTAATACAATAATTGTGCGAAAATACCAAAGGCTCTCCGAGCATCGATCACGACGGATCGTTAGGATTATTATTAACCCCAGACATGGAGGTTTTTTTTATCGATAAAATAAGACTGCCCACTCCTAACTTATTTGCACGATTAACAGAAATGTATTGGCTTCGATCGATTATGCGCCTTTTTCTAAGGGCTTTCCGTCCCCCGCGTTTGTTTAGTATTGACCCATATACAGAGAGAGAGAGCGAGAGAGAGAGAGAGAGAGAGAGAGAGAGATTTATAATCCTTATTCGATTAAACTTCGTAAACTTGATTTTCGACGGAATGGAAATCCATCATGAATTATACATGATTTCCGTCCCGTTGACGCCCCGTCGATGTTTATTTGTTTTATTGATAAATATGTATGAATACGTCCCAAATAAATGCTCGGAGCGTATTAGCGCACTTTCGAGAGCGCGCATTAGTACTTCCTAAACAGACATCCAAAATATTTTTCTACTTGTTTGCTTTCACGGGGATGATAGCGAATTATCCTGCGAACGAGCAGAAACAATGCCGTCGTGGGATCCGCACCGGAGCTGCTTTCTAGGAAACGGGGGTACATCGATGCGACTTGCGCGGCAACCTTTGACATTTCAAAAGGGCGGGTCGAAGTTTCCTTTCCACCCTCCGAGGGTAGGCACACTCCCGGTGTGACCCAACATCCGGCCGAAATGTGTACGGCGCATAAAAGATCTACGTACTAATTTGCTGGGCTGCAAATGAGTTTCGATCTGGTGAGCCTTGTAAAAGCTTAAGCAAGACCTTGATGTTCGTTAATCTCCTTCACTTTCTTTCTTTATTTTTCCTACTTCCTCGATCCTTTCCAGAAGTTGAACGTAATGCATCTTCTTTCTTCCTTCCCTCCCTCTCGCCCTCTCCCCTCTCTCTTCACCCCCCGCGTTTTCGTCGTAGCGACATTTGTAAATGAAAGTGCACACGCGAAGCGCACAAAAAGCGTTCAAAGTGCATGCCATGATCTCATATTTCGTTCGAAAAATGTATAAATGTCTCTTTTGCCGTTAGAATTCTCAAAATGTGACTTGTACCAGTTTATTGTGATATGAAGATACTTTTTGCAGCTATACCAGCACTAGAGAGTTCTGCTTTACATTTACTTCATATTCTCCTTTGAAGTCAAATATACAGAATCATATCATAGTGTGTACATTTGGTAAAAAGAGCGATATTACTTTTTTATAAAAAAATTTAATTGTCATATTTTTTTCATCCTTTATAAAATATTACTATCAAGAGTATCAAGTAATTAAAAACTGTCTAATTTGAAATATACTTATCAAAATATTTAATATAAAATACACTTAAAATTAACTTTAAATTTTAAATATATAACAAAATTACATTTTGTTATATATTTACGATTATAAACCTTGATTTACTATCTTTCAATCGTTCACAGCTAAAATATTATCTATGATTGAATACATACTTGTTAAAAAAAAGATCCTTTTATTTTGTAACAAGAGAATCGTATCAATTGTGCATCAAATGTACGTATTATCGAATATCTTATGCAAGAAATAAGAGAATCTCGAGGACCATTTGTTAAAAATCACATGTCGTATTCAATGATGTATTCAACAGTTTGCAGAATCAAGAGACCGTTAAAAAAAAATATGCGAGACAATTGATTCAAGCGAGACATATGGATTCACCAGGCTGGAAAATTCCGCGAGAACAAAGCTCTGGAAGTAGAACAAAAATTATGAATACCTATAGACCCAAGAAGGTATAGAATCAAGTAAAAATCTGAGAAATGCAAAGTTAAATTAACAATTTATTAGAAAAGCTCTTGAAATAAAAAGAAGACCCACAGAGGCGAAGCTCTGCGAAATTAAGCGAAATCTATAAATCCATAGGGATTCAGGGAATAACGAGAGATAAAAGAACGACGGATAATTTTCCCGAGGTCTTTCTCTCAGCGCAACTCGCTCAATCCTGAAAGTTCGTGGCATCTTGTGCATTCATTCTCATCACGTATTTACATTAACCGGTAAACAGAGTTCTCGTTTCGAAGGCACGCGGACGCCGTTGGAAATTAAATCGACCACACTTTTTGAGTTTCAATTTCTAATTATTGCAGACCATAATTAGCAGCGGGCATGTGCGGTTTATCATATGTAGTTCATCATTCAGCTGCGCGAACCTAATTGCGTCGCCCGGCACGCGAGAATCTCTCCGAGGCCGCATCGTGTATGTGGCACATCTCCATTAACCGCAATATAACAACAAGCTTGCCATATCGTTTAATTAAACAAGGCGGAATAATTGAAATTACTAAAGTAGCGCTTTTTCCTCAGCTAACGTCTACTAACCTTCACTGCGGACGTTGCGGATTCAATTTCTGTCATAAAAAATTTACGAGCGAGCTTTTTCGTATAAACGAGTACAAAACTATTTCTTTATCATTGTTATAAATAGGATATTTAGAACAATAGGACTATAAAAATAGGACATCTGAATGATAAGATATTTAAGAAATAGAATAGACAGGAAAAGGAAAAGAAAATAATTTATATGAGCGCAAAAATATAGACATATGCAGTAGATAGATAAAGAAGTAAATCCTATTATTCCTTATCTTGTGACTGGTAATCTCATTGTCACCTCTGCACTATTAAGCTTACTAAGCTTTTCTACTGAAAATTGGAGCGAGCCTATACTTAATCGATTTTCCAAATGTCTGACGTCATTCATGACGTCTCTAAAAGAGAGAGAGGAAGATAGTTAAAGTTCGCTCTCGCTCAACCGAAGCGACGTCAACGTTATGATGTCTTAGGCTATCGTCAACGTCATAACGGGAGTGAAATAATAACGAGACATAGTTATTTATACTGGACACCACGGGCACGACATTTTCCACAAAGTGGAATATTAATCGCAAATGTCAAAACGAGTCCCGAGTGTGAAAAGCGAGAAGCGCGATTGAAAAACATTTGTTTTCAAAATAATAACAGAGGCAGAGTGAACGCGCGTTAAAAGTAGTAAACTACTCGTTCGATTAAATCGCTCTAAATTTTTATTTGCGAAAACGAAGTAAAAGTTGCGACTAACTGCGAACTAAGAATCGGAGATTTAAAAATGCAAAATTTCTATATGAGAGTCACAGATATTCACAGCGACTAAAAGACCAAATTTTATGATGAAACTGATAATAACTGCAAATTCAATTAATTGGTATTTAATAAATTCTTATAATCTTATATTAAATAATCTTATTTTATTCTATATTCCATTTCTCATCTTACTATTTTCTGATTAGTAATATGATTAAAAATGCACAATTGTTGCAAGATTATTTTAATAAAAAGGTTATTCAAATGAAAAATAAAGATAAAAAATGAGACAATTAAAGCAAGATATTAAAAATATTTTTAAAAAGCAATCTGTGCTCCTATTTGCAATAAAACAAAATATAATAACTTGCTAATCATATAAAATATTTTATATGATTGAGATAAAATATTTTCTAAATA